TCAGCCTGGGTATAAATGCAAGAGCTTACCTGAAAAATAACTAAAGAAAAAAGGTCTGGAGCTATGGCTTAAGTGGCAGAGTGCCTGCTTATTAGTAAGCACAGGGTACTGAGTTCAAACTCAAGTATTGCCAAAAAAAAGAAATCCCAATCAAAACTCCAGAGTTACTGATTATAAAGTTCATAGGGAAAGATGAAAGACCCTGAATAACCAACACAATACTGAAAAGAACTCACACTATGCAATTTCAAGATGAAGTATAAAACTACAGTAATCCAGACAGTGTGGTATTGACATGCTGATCAATGGAATACAGTAGATAGCCCAGAAATGGACTCATGCATATAGTCAACTGGTTTTTTTTAAAACAAAAGAGCAATGGCAACTAAATGGAGAAAACATAAGTCTTTTCAACAATTGGTGGTAGAAGTGGATGTCCATGTGAAAATAAAATAAACCTAGCTGGGTACCAGTGGCTCACGACTATAATCCTAGCTACTCAGGAGGATCATGGTTCAAAGCCAGCACAGGCAAATAGTTCATGAGACCCTATCTCAAAAAAAAAAACATTGCAAGAAAGGACTGGCAGAGTGGCTCAAGGTGTAGGCCCTCAGTTCAAACCCCAGTACTGCAAAAAGAAAAGAAACCTAGACACTGATCTTACACAGTTCACAAAAACTGTATAAGGTTGACAGTGCCCATCAACAGATGAATGGACATAGAAAATGTGATACATTTACACAGTGGAATATTATTCAGCCATAAAGAAGAGTGACATTGATGGAACTGGAGATGATCATGTTAGGTGAAATAACCCAGACTGAAAAAGTGAGATGTTACATGTTCTCCCTCATATGTGGAATCTAGTCCTAAAAAAGTGACAGAAATGTAAAACAGGTTCTGTTTAGGGTTGGGTACCAGTAGGAATGGGGAGGTATGGGGAGGTGGGGTGAATATGTTCCAAGTATTCTATACACATATATGAAAACAGAACAATGGAACCTGGTGATATTGTTCCCAAAAGGGGGAAAGAGATAATTGGGAGTGATAGAACGAGTTTGATCAGGACATGTTGTATGTATATATGGAAAAATCACAGTGAAACTCCTCTAAACAACTAATGTAAGCTCATAAAAATTGAAAAAAATTGAAGATTTGAAATCCCAGTATTCAGGAGGCTGAGGCAGGAAGATCGTGAGTTCAAGGCGAGTCTGGGCTACATAGCAAAACCATCTCAAAAATCGAAAGGGGAAGCAGCTATAAAAGCTATTTGGAGACACATAGAGAAACTTGAATATGAAATAATACTGGGTGGTTGAGAGAATGGTACTGTGACTAAATAGGAGCTTGTCCTCACTCTTACAGAAGAGAAACACTAACATATCATGATAAAAGTCTACAATTTAGCTCAAATAATTAAGGAAGGGGGAAAAGGCACATTTTGGAGGTAGCAAAATCAACAATGGCGAAATGGTGAATCTATTTATATTTATTTATTTATTTGCAGCACTGGGGTTTGAACTCAGGGCCTCATGCTTGTGAAGCAGTCACTCTTGAGTCACTCCGCCAGCCCGGAATGATGACTCTAGATGAATGGCAAATGTAAAGGAAATGCTCATTATGCTACCCTTTCATATTTCTGTAGCATGTTTTCAAAATAAAAATTAAGGAAAATCAGTACAGTTTTAGATTTTGACAAAATGATAACTAAAGGTCACCTGCAAAAAGAAACATGCAAAAATAATCGGCAAAAAATCCTGAACTAGAATAGTGAGGCATGGAATAGTGATGAGAATGTAGCACTGGGGAGGTACAGTGGTAGAGTACTTGTCTGGAAATGCTCAAGGCCCTGGGTTCCACCCCCAGGAACAGGCACACACAGACACAATGAAAATGTGTAACAATTTATAATAATTAAGAGTGGGATTTTTTGCAACAGACTGTAGAGCCCAGAAACAGATCTGTCTATCTATCTGTCTGGATATACATAATATATATGTGTGAAAATTCAATGTATGAAGTGAGAATGGCTTTTCAAAATTAGTGTGGAAAAATCAATAAAAGGGGTTGTAGTAGCCAGATAGCTATTTGGGGGGAGAAAAACATTGAATGATTACCTCATTCCTACAACCTAAATAAGTTCTAAATGAACTGAGAGGGTTTAAAAAAAACACTTTAAAATTACTGAAAAAATACATTAAATTTATTCTTAAATCTAAAGGCCTTTCTCAGAATGGCAGAAATCTCAGAATTCATAGACTGCTAAATTTACACAAATAAATAAAACTCAGGAAAATACCAGCAAATAAATGACAATGGACCAATTTTCTTAGCTTACAAAAACCTGAAGTCAAAAAGCAAAACATCTAATAGAAAACAGAATATGACCACAGAGTTCACAGAACAGTAACCAATAACCATAAATCCATGTTCCATATCTTCCATAAAAATGCATTAGACCTTCATTAATGTGAGATACCATTTATTCGTTTTCAGGTGATTAAACTGAAAGTTTAGCACCCACTATTGGCATGGGTCTGGAAAATAATCTCTCATACTTTATATGTAGAAACACACTTCAGTAGCTACTGAAAATGACAAAATACCCTTTAATCCAGCAATTCTATCGTAGTAAGTAACACTGTAAGCATCTCATTAAATGTACAAGTACGTTAATTGCAATGATTTAGCAAAATACTGGAAACAACCTAAAAGCCCATCAATGTTTGAGCATTTTTAACACATTGGAACACCAGTTATTGAAAACAATTAGATATTTCTGTATACATTGATACAGAAAGATCTCATAAAACACTACTAGCAAAAAAGGGTAAGGTACAGGAGACTGTGTGTGTGTATGTATATTATATATACATACACACACACACACACACACATATATATATATATATATATAGTCTGATTCCATTAATGTAAAAAATTTTAAGAATACATTTGCTGGTAAACAAACTTTTTTTGTTCTATAAGAACTTAAAAGACACTTGAAGCCAGTTATCTTTGAACTATTATGGTAGGAGGGAAGGGGGCAAAAGTTTAAATTTTATACATTCTGTGCAATCTGATTTTATTCCATATGCATATAATTACCTTTTTTTCTATTCTTTTTAAAAAGCACTCGCATCAAGCACTGGTGGCTCATGCCTGTAATCCTAGCTACTCAGGAGGCAGAGATCAGAAGGATCACAGTTCAAAGTCAGCTGGGCAAAATAGTTGGTGAGAGCCTATCTCAACAATACCCAACACAAAACAGGGCTAGGGGAGTGGCTCAAGTGGTAGAGCACCCACCTATCAAGTGTGAGGCCCTGAGTTCAAACCCCAGTTCGCCCCCCACAAAACAAACTTGGTTAGCAGGTTATTTTAGAAAGATTTTGTAGTAGATATTTGATACTGTTGGTGGCTTTTTTCAAAATATTATAGGTAACTGCCAACTTTTTTGAACTAAAACTCCTTTTTGGATTTTCATTAAACTTCAGATTAATGATGCTTTAATCATAATGATTTCCCATTAACTATAAAGTGACATTTTTATAGTGGCAATTTCACTATATAACAAATTTGTGATGGAATGATTAGACACTGCTGCTCAAGGACTAGTTCTTACACCCCAAAGGTCATTTGATTATTTAGGATAACATTATTGTATTTGGACTATAAAAACATAAAATTGCATTGACTTTACATATACAATCAAAGTACCCACTTAATTTAGTAAAACAGCACCACACTAGAAAAAATAGTCATAAAATTAGCTCTCACATTTTTCTAGGGACAGAGAAGCAGAAGAAATGAGATTAAAAGTCAAAAACAAACAAACAAAAAGAAACACTACCAAAAACAGGGTGAGACAATCATTCATTTATTAGACAGGGCAAGGTAATTTAAAGAGAAGAAACATATCCAAAAAATGTGTTTAGCTTGGTGTTACAGGCATCGAGGCTCACAACAAACAACACTACTCAATACAGCATGGAAACAGGCCACATACAACCAGGAAGATGCTGTCATGCCATTCAAAAACAAAAACAAAAGCAAAAGCCACAATGATTAGGAAACAATTATTGGGAGTTACAGAGCATACTAGTGTCCAATTCACCGATTTGCATTTTGTGCAGCTCAGCCATTAGCCCACAGTACTTGGTGGATCCCTGGTTATTAAGTGAATCTTCCTGTATTCTAGAGAAATCTGATTGGTACACACTTCGCACATTTCTGACTGTCACTTAAATCAGTCACTCACAGTGACTTATCTAGCTCACGTCACCATTATTTAGGACTATCTCCTAGTACCATAAATAAAATTCCATTACTGAATACATTCACCACTGTTATAAAATATCCAAATCACATTTAGTCCTATAATACACACTTGAAAGACAGCAGAAATTCACTGGAGCAAATTTCAAAAACAAATTGGGGGAGTTCACCTGGCTTGAGGTACACAAACTGCTAGGAAAGGTAGACACAACTGGAAACTGTCAATTATTTGCCAAGTTATTTGGCATCATTTTTAGTAAGGAGTTCCCTGATGGGGCAGGTAAAGATAAATTTCAATATTCATTCTACAGACTAGCCAAAATGTTCTAAGTGGTAGTATATTATGAATGCCTGACTATGAGGAAAAACTTTTGCATAAGATTAACTGAGAAATCTGTCAAGTATCTGACCCTCTTCCTTAAATCCATTCATTTACCAACTCCTTTCTTTTTTTTCTACAGTGCTGGGGATGAACCCAGGGCCTTTCACATGGGCAAGCACTTGACCTCTGAGCTACAGTCCCCAACCCCTCAACTATTTCCTTTCATTGCAATGAGTTCTCAAGTAAGAACTGCTCACTCCATGTAGAAAACCATATTTGGGAAGCCAGTCACAAAAGGCCAGATGATGCATGAATCCATTTAAATTAAATGATCATAACAGGCACAAAGAGAAAATAGATTAGTGGTTGCCTAGGGCAGGAGGGGGGTACATTAGGAGGAAGTTAAGAGGTGGCTGCTCAATAGTGCAGAGTTCTGTTTGGGGTAAGGAAATGTCCTAAATTTGACAGAGATATAGTTGTACAACTTCGTGAATACCTTAAAAAATCATGTAATTGTACCCTTTAAATGTGTGTATTACAAGATATGTGAATTATTTCTCAGTAACATTGTTATGAAAACATATTAGGAAAATGACAGCTCCAAAAAAGAAGAAAAGAAGGAGCTCTTCCAAATCAAGTCACATGCCAGGAAACAGTAGACAAGCCTAATGTAAGGAGCTTGTTTCTCCCATGCTATTTTGGCTTCATTGTGATCACTTTAATCCTTGACTTCCCATGGTTAACACATTTCTGAATTATTGTGGGGAATCTGCAGATTTCTAACTTTGTTCTCATTAGACAGCATAGTCAGTGTTCCATAGACTAGTCTGACAAAACAAAAATAAAGAATAAAAATCTAATGACAAAATAATCTCATTCTTTGGAGTTGTGCATTACCAGGCAGAATGGAAGAGCTGAGGTTCATTTGTAATGGGGAAAAATGCCATCAAGGATAAGGGCATCTTGATAGCAAGACCCTGCTTCAAACAATAAACTAAAAAAGTACAAGGGCACCTTATGACTCTTGCCTTAAGTATTTTTCCTTTTGAAACCTGCACACAGTTATTCCCTTTACACCTATACAATTCCACAAAAGCAATGCCTTTAGGCCTGTGCAATTCAATAAGAGCAGTACTCGCTACAAAAAAAAAAAGGTTGAGCTTCCTGCAGTTTTCTAGCTCAAAGAGCTAGCCAAATTTCCCAAAGAGTAAAATACTGTTTCTGAAAAAAATTCAACTTGATTTACATCCTCACCTGCAGCACCGTACAGTGAAGATGGAAAACTAAGCCAGCTATAAAACAATTTCTTAAATGATCTTAATTTTCTGGAAAATTAAAAATATTACTTCCAAATACTTAGAATGTATTTGGCTCAATGCCTTTGAGTCTGCCTTTAGATTACTGAGAAGTTTCCTTTATTTTCACGAGTTCCCTGAAATAAACTAACAGACTTTGAATAAGTGAAACTGGCTAAGTGGCAAGTAATCCATTATTCTTAATGATTATTCTTCTTCTATAGAGGCAAGATGATGAACACACAAATGATCTTTTTTGGTCTGTCTTCATCTATTCTTACATTACTTAATCAGTAAAAGGTTTACAGCTAACTGGAGAGAACATAAAGTAGCTTTACAGCAAGTTTAGCTTCTTGTTAAATATATTTGTTATGACAGAATTTCTGACACAAAAATTGTTCACTGCCCCCAGAATCTTGGAGAAGTGATGAAACAAGACAGCTGATGTTAGAAGGTATATGGGAGTGGGGTGGGGTGAGAAGTCACGGATAAAGTAAAAACTGGCAAGTATCTGCTAAAGCAGATACATGTCCCACCTTTTGAGGGACATGACAAAAATTGAGAAGTCACCACTTTGGTCTCATTAGGGAAGAAATGAAGACCATTTTACTGTAATTCATGCTGCAAAATGCAGTAGTCACACAGTATTCCCAAAAGGATTCCTAAAAACTGTAGTGCAAAAGAAATCTAAGAAAATAAATAATCACAAAAACCACCAGCATTTTTCAAGGAAATGTGTTTAAAACAGTGACTTTTACAAAAGATGTGAATTGTTTCAAATGAAAAAATTCTCTTTATGAAAGATCAAAGATTCATTTCACAGATAACTTATACTCCATCAATAATTTGATTAGCAATGTACAAATAAGGGCCATAGATTTTTTTTTAAAAACTAGGTCTGAAAGATCAATATAAATACTGATAAGGGGGAGTGTTTTATACCCCAAACTCCAATATTCAACTCTGTGTCCTGTCCTGTTATTTAATTTGTAATTAACGACGCAGTGATTCGAGTTTTCGTAACTTCAATGATGTGTTAGAGGACAATGCATCTTGGCTTGAAGAATTTGTTGTATCCGAAGGCCGGAACAATACTCGACCACGGTGATTAAATACGTAAAAGGATGGGTGATTCCTTAAGGTATCAAACGTCCTTAAAAGAAAAAAAGCATCAATTTTAGATAAACCGTTATGAAAGCCTATTTAAAAATAAGAAGGCTTTCGATGAATTTGCTAAGGGTTATATTTTTAACTAAGAATAAATCCATGAAATCAGACTACAAATGATAATCATATTGTATTGCATTTTTTAACATATAACAAAAATAAGAAACTTGGAAAGCCAGCATAAAGCTCTGCTTTCTTTTTTATTCAGCCAATCCTTCCAGGATGCCTATCAATAATAACAGAAATACTAGCTCAATTTCAATCAACTCTGTAAATCTAACAGTAGCTTATGCCAAATCATCTTTCAAAAACCAGTGCACAGATTGTCCCTTTGATTATTCTCATTTGGCCCTCACTATTCAAGCTGTCTGATCATTTCACACATCTGTTTTCCAAGAATCTTTCAAGTAGCAATGAAAAATTCCTTTTAGCTCTCTATACATGCTATTGGCCAAACTCATATACCCTCTACTCGATGCCATTCAGTTTTACTTTTTTCTTTCCTGGCTCCTTGCCTGAGACCCTTGGTAGACTCTTTGTAAAAGCAATGGTAATAGTGAGTATCCTTTCTTTCTTTCAGTGAGATCTATACAGTCTTTAAAAAGTTTACAAACACTTCGGTGTATGACCTTCAGTGTCTGCTTTGAAATATTTTCCTAGAAAAAAATGGGAGAACTCTTTTTTTGTTAAAAACTCAAATCTCAACATCAGCCCACTTAACCATCCAAGCATACTCCCATACAAAACAGGAGGTCTAATACATTACTATTTTAAATGGAAATAATTAGGTAAAAAGAAGGGGAATGAGTTCCCTCTAACACATAAATGCCTACAGTGAATCCTAAGAAAATATTGCAAATGGTAATCTTCAGGATCAGGAAGGTAAGTAAAGTGCAGAGACAGAACTAAACAAAGATGAACTAAAAATACGGGAAAGAAAACCAAACAAAAGCTTGTGAAAACAGCTTAGAAGAAGTACAAGAGAAAAAAAAGCCAAGTGACAAATATGTTTAATCTGGGGATAGAAAAGGGGCCTGCGAGCAGAGCTTATGTCACAGACCAGGTTCAAGCAACAGAGGAAACAGAAAACCCCTTATTTTTCCAAAGACTAAGCTGGGACAAGAGGATAAAAGAAGGAGAAATGAAGAGAAGAGAGAGGAGAAGGAGGGAGGAAAGAAAGGGGGAGATGGGGAAGAAAGAAAGAGGGAGATGGGAAAGGGAGAAAGGAAGAAAGGAAGGGAAGGAGGGAGGGAACTTGGTTGAAATTTTTGAGATCATCTTTCTCCATACCTATTTTTCTGAGAGATTATCTTTGTACATATCTATTTCCTTCCATCTGTCCATCTAACCAACCAGTCATTTTAAGCCACTAGCAAGTAACACAGCCTAATACTTCATTCAAATACCAATAATCAGGTGTTCAACAATCAGGTGTTTCCTATCATACCAAACAATGCCTCAATATTTTTACCTCATTACTCATACAAACTGCATAGTCAAAATGTAAAAACAAAATCAATTTTTATGTACCAGAAAACATACATTTTAAATTATGTAAATAAAACAAATCCCTATGAAATTAAACGCCTCTGAAAAGGTAAAGACTTACTTATTTTTTAGTTCTGAAGTGGCATCCATGTCTTTAAATTCCCCTGCAATATGAACTATACCATAACAGGTAACTGCGAAGGCCAGAAGTGTCTGAAGAACTATCTGTGAGTACAAAGATGAAGATTACCAAATAGTACACAAATACTATAGGAAAATTTACAATCTCCCTCCCCACCTGTGTGGCCACAAATAAGCAGTCCTCTCAGTGCCACTCATCAAAAAGCCAATTCTCACTTGAAACAATTTGCACACAGAAACAATAAAATCTTTTCTTGGCTGCAACAATACTTCTGATGCTTAAGTAAATTTAGTACCATGCTCAAATCAGGAAAATAACTGGGTACTGAATGGTAGTATGCCAGTCAGTACTCAATTATCAAATAGTACCTGCTTCGAAGAGCAACTATTAATTTTTTATGTATTATTGTTCTATATCATAGAGTACACAAAGCATTTAGATACATTGTAAAAAAAAAAAGCTATAAGCTAGGTGCAATGGCTCATGCCTATAATCCTAGCTACTCAGGAGGCAGAGATGGAGAGGATCATAATCTGAGGCCAGCCTGGGCAAAAAGTTGGCGAGACCTCATCTCAACCAATAGCTGAGCACAGTGGTATATACCTATCATATCTGTTATAGGAAAAAAGTGTAACAGATCGAAGCCCAGGCCAGTACAGGCATAAACAAGAGACCCTATTAAAAAAATAACTAAAGTAAAAAGGGAGAGGGCATGGCTTAAGTGGTAGAGCACCAGTCCAACAAGCACAAGGCCCTGAGTTCAAACTCCAGTATCACCAAAAAAAGAAATAAAAAAAAGACACCACTTAACCACCACCCAGCTTATAGAATAGACTATTCCTGGTACTGTTTTGTTTTGTTTTAAGACAGGGTCTCACTATGCAGCCCAGGTTGGCCTTTAAGTCAAAATCTTCCTGCCTCAGCCTCCCAGGTGCTGGGATGACAGATGTGCACCACATCTGTCATCCCAGTACCTTTCAAGTGTCATGTGTACCTTTCCTATTTCTTTTATTCTCCTTCTCAAGGGTATTGTCTCCAATTGTATATTAATCAGTTTTTTGCTTTTCTCAACAATTTTCCAGCTGTGCATGTACCTCTAAAACATGTATTCTTTAGCTCATTTTGAACTTTAAATGTACTCAAGTGTGTTCTTTAGTGTCTAGCTACCCTCATTCAACATCTCGCTTGTGAGATTCACCCCTGCTATAGAATGTTGTTGTAGTCTACTCCTTTTCCTTGTGTCTTGTATTTCATCACATGAAAACACTACGATTTATCATTCTACTGTTCCTGGATATGTGGCTTGTTTCCTGTTTTTTTCACAATGTCAGTATGAATATTCTTGCGTGTTTCCTAATACATACGAGTGGAAACACTGAGTAGAGGAGGCACGTGGTCACATTATGTAATACCAAACTGTTTGCCAGAGGTTGTGCAAGCAATAATGTCTAATGGTTGAAATTAACCAACATGGCATATTTTCTTGATAATGATTTTCTGAACTTTTAAATTTTTCCAAAAAGGTTATTTAAAATAGACATAAGTGAATGTATGTGAGTGTTTGTGTAGTCACTACAAAGAAAAGGTGACAGGAAAATGAGTTAATAGCCACATCTACCACATCCTTAATTATAAACAAATAAAGTCAAAATTAGCCACAAGATATTATTTAGTCTAAATTAAAAACTAATATCGTATGTAATATGAATTTACATTCTACCACAAGTATATCAAGAAGACATTTTTTCATGTAAAGTACAGATAACAAGAAATATGGTAAGTCTATGAGATGTCATGGAAAATATTTTCCAAGTAAATTGTGTTATTAAAAAAGCTAGCCATAAAACAGTACATATATACATCCATAATAATTTTTAAAGAAAAAAGTTTTGATTAAGTAAAACTATACATACATAAATCAAGATAATGTTGCTTATGTGTAGAAGTCTGAGATATTGATATATTTCAAACTACTAAGGGCAGAAATGAAACTGCCAAGGAATGGGAACAGCTCTGTTGCTATTGTTTTAATTTTTATACTTACTGCTTGATTCTGCTACAAAAAAACTTACTACTTTTTAAAGTTCAAATCCAGTAAAGATAATTGCAAGTTGCATTATTTTAGCTTTTAAAACACTGTCATGTTTCTCTTTAATTTTATGACCTATTTGTGTCCCTAAACAATTATTAGCTTTGCTTGTTTTTAAAGTGTACCACAAAAGGAAGTTTTCTAAAAAAACAAAGCCAAATAATCAACTTTTTAGTTCATCTTACACTGTGGACAGAGCAACTTCTAGAAAGACCATTTTAACTATTTCAACAGTTCCAGAAATCAAACACAATTTTTTTTTCAAAATCTTTGGGCATTACAAAGAGTGATGGCAAGTAGAAAACAAATATTATTTCCCATGTTTGAAAAATGTGAAGAGAATAAAAACCAATAAAGGAAGTACCATATGCAGATTGAAAAATATATTAGAAAGGAATATAAGTGACCAACTTACATCTATTGGCAGTGAGTCATCTTCCTTTTCTGTTAATCGCATATAAGAACGATCTATAAACCAGAGCATACCATTAAGGAAACTGTAGCCCATTTTCCTTTCTTAAAATGCAAGCAAATCAATATACCAAAGGAGGGACTGACTTACACACTACACAAAGTAAAGCTAACCCCAGATTCCTCAAAAACCTCTATCGTTTAAGGCAAGCCAGCCTTATCGTTATGAACTATTTTATTCTCATCACGTCCTGCTTTGCCACATTGCTTAAGAGTAAGATGGGAAAGTATGAAGCCGAAATACCTAAGCATAATTTTTCATCATTAGTGTAGAAAAACTAAAATCTTCTGAAACTTTCTTTCACTAAGCAGTCAAAATATTACAATTATTTAAAAATCAATAAATCAGGCTGGAGGCATGGCTCAACTGGTAGAGTACCTGCCTAGCAAGCACAAAGCCCCAAGTTCAAATGCCACACCACCACCACCAAAAAAAGAAGAAATCTACAGAACATTTCAGTTCTGAACAGCACTATCATCATATAGTAAAGTCAAAGTAACACTGATGGAAACATTTCTCTTGAGAACACGCTGGGGCGGTGGTGAAATTGGAATTCCAGGACACCAATTTCTGCCTCTATTGCTATTTAATTATAACTGTGCTCTGGATTTACCCTCAGGAGGCAGCAAGGGATAAAGGAAAAGGACCAGGACTAGGGAGCTTGTAAATCTTAATCATAGTACCAGCTCTTTAATTTACTCTAATTTACTGTATGTCACTCAAAATATCCTCGGTGACTCTAGACTGTATCTCAATTTTAGAGTCTTAAAATATGGGAGTGAAAGGAGTGTGTCTTAGCACCTTTTCATTGCCTGAGTTTCCATAGCAGTAAAATGGGAATAATGTGAGGGTTAAAAAAGATTTAGTATGTGATCTGTGCACTGCTATCACAAAGGTCATTACAGCAAAGATGAGCATGCCACAACAAGATCTGATGCCACAATCTAACATGACACAATTAGTGTCAACAATAAATTAGTCTCTTGCCAACATGCGCATTACAAAGAAGTCTTGCTGCAGTGACAAATCCATAAGGCATTCTCATCACTTGAAATAAAAATACAAATCCTAGTTGTGGAGGAACCTAGGACAATCTCTATTTAATAACGTACTTGGATTTAAAATACTCAAATTGATTTGAGTGAATGTGCATTGACTATTTCTTAAAAGTGAGGCTGCTTAGGGATATATTCTTAAGTTTTAAGTTATAGAGTTTGTAAGGACATGTGCAAACGAAAAACCAAACCAATATCAAAAAATAGATTTGGATTAATCTATTGTCTGTTTCATTGCTAGCTAGCTGTCTTGTTTTATGAAGCTTAACCTGACACAAACACTACGTTAAGCTAGGCACGAAATGAAGGAGTTGGATGGACTTCAGTGATCTCTAAGGGCCCTCCTTGCTCTATGACTGTATAATTTTACTTGAAGCTTACTGTAGAAAATCATACTATACTCCAGTGTATACTAATCTCCAGGCCAGTGCTCTGCAAACTAGTGTGCATGAAAATCACATGGGATCTCATTAAAACGAAGATTCTGATTTAGTAAGTCTGAGATGGGGCCTGAGTGTGTTTTAATAAGCTCCCAGGTGATGACCACGACTCTAGTCTATGAACCACTTTGGGCAGCAAAGCTCTAGGATACTTTCTTTAACCCCAGGTCCCCAAAATTACTGCCCCCTTGCATCTTTACATACTTTTAACACAACATCAACATTATTTTATTGTAATTATTTCTCGATCCACGTGTCTCTCCACTAGCCTATGAATTCCCTTCTGGCATCAACTGTATAGCACCTAAGCACGGGACAACTTCACCCAGAGACGGAATTTTATAATGCAGTGTAGCGGGTATCTTTTACCCAAGGTCACACGGATTTAGAGGTTAAGCAAGTTTTTAACAACCAGCCCTTCCAACTCCCAGTCCAGTGCTCTTTTTCCGTATCACAGTGCCTCCCAGAGGCCAATCGGTCACTTAACTCCCCAGTCTCTTACCTGGACAGCTCAGGAGTGCCCAAGATGTTGTCCACCTACTTGTCATGAGGACATGAGCATCCAAATTTCTCAATCCTATCCCGGATCTGGCTACCCCTGCCCCGGGTTCTCCGAGAGGAGAATCCCTGTCTGAACCCTCTCCCAAATACCGGCACCCCCGAGCAATCTTTCTGCAATCTCAGGTGTCCCACAGCCCTCAAATTCCAAGCCTTCCACCGGGATCCCTGTGCTGATTTTCTCCGTCACCCCAAACTGTAAGGTCTCAGACGACCGTTTCATGGCATTTGGTTCGACAGTCCCTTAGGGGAGAGCCCACACACCACCCCCAGAGTCCCACACGCGAGCGGTCCTGGTCTTCCAGGCACTTACGCTGCGCAGCGGAAAAGGCAGCGTGGGCTAGGGCAAAGAGGCCGACGCCTACCAGCCCCTTCCACAGCGATGGCGCCATGCTTCTTGAAGGAGCAGCAGCCCAACAAAAGAGGCAAAGGGCGGCTTGGCTGTTCCTTCTTCCAGAGGCTGGTGTCCGCGCAGCGCAGGAAGATGACGTCACCGAACCCCAGGGCGCGAAGTGCCCTGGTACAAAAGCCAGAGAGCCAAGAGAAAGCGGAAACAGGAATGCCGGGAAGAAGGAGGAAAGCCACGCGGAAAAAGGTCCGCGAGGGCCTCGGAGCCTGCGCTAGCGAACTCTCGGCGACTGGTGGAGCTGAGCAGAGAGCGTAAATGAAGACTCGAAAGCTGGCTCAATGGGGACGCGAAGAAGAAGGGAGCCAGCCAATGAGCGCGGGCCGCGGGAAGAGGCGGGGCCTACGGAGCAGTCGGGGCGGAGCCGAGGGCATTGCTGGACCGTGGGTGCTGGGTTTGGTCCCCTGACAGGTTTTGATGTTTGGTTGTTGGCTGATTGATTGAATTTGGTTTTCCTTCCAGCGGAGTCTTTTGTTTTCTACAAGGTCCTTCCTGTTCTTTTGCCCTCAGGGAAATGTCATTGCCAAAAAGCCAAGGTGTTAAAGCGAAGAGGTAGATGGAGTGTCTAGGACAGCAACCTGCGGGTTGGGCCCCAAACACTTGGCACGCTCGGCACGCTCGGTAAATGTTAGTTCCCTTCTCCTTACCAGGTCTTGGAGAGAGATTTGTGCCAAAATGAGTGTAGCGGAGCGAAGCTGTGTTCTTAGGAAGAGAACCAGCGTACATTAAGGAAGAAATGAGAGAGTAAACGGATACTAGCAACGTTTCTATCTCTGATCACCCTACCTCTTGCTCCATTTTTCTTTATCTTCATCCCCTCAAACATTCAGTAGGTTCTCCCCTTCTCTCCTTGCTCTGTTCTTTCTTGGCAGGCCCACTAAAGAATCCCCACTTCAACCAGTGTAGATGTTAAAATGATTCCAAATCGACATCTCTATCTCAAATATCTCTCCTTAGCTTCAGATCTGCCTTTCTTGCTGGACATTGATTTCCATGTGAGTGCTCCCGTGGTGTTTGAAATTTAAATGGCCAAAACGGAATTCATCCTTTTCCCCCCAAACTCTGCACCAATTCCTCCAGTGCCCTTTTGGCTGAGTGGCACAGCTTTATAAACTGCATATCACAAGGTAAATGCATTACCATGCTTGCCATTCTTTCCCTTCAACGCTATCAAAACTGTGTTAGCTGAATCAATTGTCTCACTCTTACCTGCTCAAAGATGCCTGTCCTTACCACCCCCTTTAATTTTGGGGCATTCCCCTCTATGATTCCTTTAGCCTGCTCTGTTTTTACATCACCTAACCTACTATGTTAATTTATTTATTATGTGTGCTGTGTTACTATTGTTTACTCTCTTCTTTCTTGGAATGTGAGCTCCAACAGAATATATTTCTCTGTGTCCCGACTATGGACTGTTATGTGGTAGGCATTTGATAAATGTTTGTTAAATGAAGAATTAATGAATTGTGGAAAAGAAGCGAGAGGTTTGTATTGCTATTTGAAAGGATCTCTATAGAGAGTCCTTCCATTATTTTGAATTGATTTTAAAAATCTCTGTGGACTTATATATTTGAGTTTCTTGAAAGCTGAAAAATCGAGAAAATAAAGAAGAAACCCAAGATTCAGCAGGTTTCGTCAACTTTACCTACATAATTTCTGTTCTGGATCCTATTGTCCAAACCTTTAGTCCTGGTCATTATTTTTGTCTGGGATCTCTTCAATTTCTTTACCTGCAAAGCCAAAATTTTACACAGTACTTGATCAATGTCAAGTACAGTACAATGTATTCCTTACAAATGTAGTTCTTTTATAAGACTCACAATCAGAAAGAACCAGCAGGTAATCTCTGTGTAGCTGGAAGGGAAGTGTTTCCTTCTCCACCCTTGGGAGGTGGCAAGATAGAAAAGATAGTTAACCAAAAAAATCTAAAACTTCGTTTTAGCTTGGATAATGGTTAAATTGAAATTAACGTTTTCAGGTGTTCAGTAAATTATCTGAAGCAGAAAATGATTAAGGTTTTTTTTTAAGGCTCTGAAATCTGGTTCATTTCTTTTAGAAATGTGAAGTTATGGAAAAATAGAATCAGAAGGAATGTGGAGTTTGTATAAGCCACCAATGCATTATCCTAGTCTTCAGGGAAGTGACTCATGCTCAGGCATTGAGTTTTGTTTTCTTCATTGTCTTCTTAAGATACATTCACCTTTCTCTCTCTCTCTCTCTCTCTCTCTCTCTCTCTCTCTCTCTCTCTCTCTCTCTCTCTTTTGGTGGTACTATGGTTTGAACTCAGGGCCTCATGCTTGCTAGGCAGGCACTCTCCCACTTGAGCCACCCTGCCAGCTCTTTTTTGTGTCACATATTTTCAAGATAGGGTCTCAAGAACTATTTGCCCAGGGTTAGCTTAACCCGGATCCTCCTGATTTCTGCCTCCCAGGTAGCTAGGATTATAGGTGTGAGCCACTGGTACCCAGCCACTACTCTGTTTTTTAACCTCTTACTCATGTACTGAGTTACAAGAGAAACCAACCTAGTTTCACATTTTCAAGTAATACATTGTTAAGTCAGGCTCATGAAGTGGTATTTTGTTTTTGTTTTTGTTTTCAGATAGGGTCTTTCTATGTTGCCTGGGCTGGCCTCAAACTCCTGGGCTCAAGTGATCCTTCCTGCCTCAGCCTCCTGAGTAGTTGGGGCTACAGATGTGCCCCATCATGCCTGTGGATTTTAATGATCTTATCCGTAGATTCCAACCTGAAGGGAAGCAAAGGTCTTCACAATCATAGTTATCAAGGACTGGATCATTCAAATAAGTAACTTGGGTACATGGTTTTGAAAGTCAGAGTTAATCCCAAAGATGCAAAGTACAGCTAGTGGGGACGCTGATTTCATAAGCTCTTAGAACAGAAGTCAAATCTCATGAGAAACCGTATTTACATTCCTAAGTGACCACAGAAGTGCCTTTAGTTTTTCCAAAGAAAGAGCTGCTGTTCATATGCACCCTGTATAAGCGATGTGGGTATTATTGAAAGAGGGGATAATGATTTCTAAAGCATTTCCATGGAGATGTTATTTGTGAAGACTCGTGTTTCCCAGGGTAATGTGTTGAGTAGAGAAAGCACAGCTATTTAATAACTATCTACAAGTTCATTAACTTTTTTCCATGCCACTGAACTAGGTGAATATCTTCATCTACTACTCATCCATGTCTCCATCTCCCATACAGATCCTCCCTCTAATTGCCACACTCTGTCCTTTCCTATCTAGTTCAAATTCCACATTTCCCTAGAAATATGTTCCTGACTATTACAGGTATCTATGAGAAGAAGTATGTATCTATTGTAGGTACTAAACCTTTCTTCAAGCTGTTTATATTTAGTACAACCTCTCTTGATAAAAAATTCTAGAAATCTACCACCTAGTGGACAAAGTAGCATTTTTTTATAGCACGGGGGTTTGAACTCAGGACCTCATGCTTGCTAGGCAGGCGCTTCTACAGCTTGAGCCACTCTGCCAGCCCATAAGAGCTTTTATTTATTTATTTTTGTCTTTTTCTTTTTTGGTGCTGGGATCAAACCCAGGGCCTCCTACATGCTAGGCAAGTGCTCTACCACTGAGCTACATCCCAGCCCCTCAAAGTAGCATTTTTAATGTTGAAATTGCATCCTCTTTACTTACTTTTTCTCACAAAAGCAATGTGTGCTAGATGTAAGAAATTCAAGTTTTTGATGTGCCCACTGTAGAGGAGCTAATATAGTAAACTTAAACAACAGAGGCCAAAATGGGAAGGTGACCGGGAAGTAGTGAAGAGGTCAGGTAGAGATGAATCAATTTGGGTTGTAATACATGTGCATAGAAGCAATGCTAGGAATCTCTCTGTATAGCTATCCTTATCTCAAACTAGCAAAAACGCTATGTCTTTCTTATTATTGCTTATGTCCTCTCTTCAACAAAATTGGAGAAGAGGGCAGAACAGGTTCTGCCTGGAAGCAAGGGGGATGGGGGGGAGAGGAAGGGGGTTGGGGGGAAGGGGGAGAAATGGCCCAAACAATGTGTGCACATATGAATAAATGAATAAATAAACCAAAAAAAAGAAATTCTAACAATGAAAAAGCCTCCCTCTGAAAACATTAAAGTGGTACCTTGGTATTTTGGGTTTTGAATCTTAGTAAATATGATTGTGGTTACAGGATTGGTATCTTTAAATTTTATTTGCTGAATGGTTTAAATTACAGTGCTTAAAAGCATTTGCACTGGAATTGGATTGGGCTTAAAACCTGCTTGCTATTCTACCTGTTGGAGATTGGAGAAGTTACTTAATTTCACTATCCCTCAATTTTCTCTTCTGTAAATGAAGATAATAATATGGTTCTTTGATAAGGTTGTTGTCAGGACTGAGTGAGATGCTATCTATAAAGTACACAGAACAATCTCCCACATAGTAAGGACTCCGTAAATGTTAACCAGTGTTATCGTTGAACTTCTCTAGCTATTTTTCCAAACTGAAGAGGTTCCATATCCCACTAGTCTTTCCTAGAGGATCAGTTGCTTCTCCTCTTTGATTATTCTAAATGCCCTTCTCTGGACTGTTTCCAGATCTATTAATACCTCTCTTAGGGTTTCATTACAACATCTGCACAGGGTATCCTAGGATACTTGTATGAGGTTAATATGATTATCCATTTCAAAGAGCCTTCTTAATGACACTGAAAATCCTATATATATTTTTTAGTACACTGGAATGGTCTGTTCAGGAAATAAACTGTAAAAACTCCTGTATCCTTATTCCAGGGTCTAACTGGTGGCTGTGACATAATCTTGGTTCTGTTTCAATATAAGCATTTCTATACTGGTGTCTAAGGACTGAGCTCTTGCCACCCTCTCTTCTTGGGAAAGTTCAGGAGCTTCCACAACTTTCAATATTTTGTCTATAGCTCACAAACCTATTGCCAGTTCTGACTTCATTCCTGAACTGCTGAGCCAAGTTCTAACTTGTAATATTTGCACTTGGATTTCCCATCAACATCCTTAATCCAACCCACCCATAGCCAAACTCAGCCTTCTGACTTCATATTAATGCTGCTAACTGGCCTGTGTTTTCCAGTTGTCCAGGTCGAAAACTTTGGAGTCATCTTTCAATTCTGCCTCCCACCTACAAACCCAGTCCATTACGAAGATCGATCAATCCTACCTCTGCATTTGCTCTTGTACTCAATTTCCCATTTTTTCATTCCTACTGTACCCAATAAGTCCTCATTACTTTTCAGCAGACTACTTTTCTAAATTCCTAATTGGCCTTCCTACTCTTTGCATCTCTTTGCATTTCATTCATTCCCCTTTCTGCAGATAAATTAATATTAGGGAGATTTTTGATCAGGGAAATGAATGAGTTAAAAATTTCTGCTACATAGACTAACCTTCCACAGTGTGATCTCAACCTAACTTTTCCACCTTCCCCTAATTCATGAATTAGTTAATCCAGTGTTTATCAAGCACTTCCACAGAACCAAAGACTATGCTAAGTACTGGATGCTTTTCAATTATGAAGTATTTACTGAGCACTTACTCTGTACCCAGTACCAAAAAGCCCTCTTTCAGCTTATCCTTGAATTGAATATGTGTACCCAGGGGAATTTAATGCCATCTGCAAACATGGGGATTTCCTTTGCACTCAATGAAATTTGAGGCGTTTATCGAGGCCCAAATATGCTTTACGGAGTACTTCTTTTGGTTAAGCCTTGTGCTTGTTGGTAATAAACAAAGCGATACCTAATTCCTGCACTAGAGGTGTTCATGACCTTGGAAATCAAATTTATTAATCAAACATGATAATAAATGCATAGGGGGCTCAGGATCCCTTACTCAGTCCCAGTCTGAGGGTATCCTGGAAAGTTTGGTAACCTTTAATCTGAATTTTGTCAGACAAATAGAAGTGAGTTTGGCAAGAAAGGGGTCAAAGACCTATCAAATTGGAGGAAACAAATGGAAAGGCATATATAAAACCGTATGGAGACAGGCACCAGTGGCTCACGCCTATAATTCTAGTTATTTGTGAAGCAGAGATCAGGAGGATTGCAGTTCGAAGCCACCCGGGGAAGATAGTTCCAGAGACCCTATCTCGAAAAACCCATCACAAAAAAGGGTTGGTGGAGTAGCTCAAGGTGTAGGCCCTGAGTTCAAACCCCAGCACCGCAAAACAAAAACAAAAACATATGGAACATTCAGGGAACCACGAGAAGTTCAGAATACCTGAAGCAAAATATTTTGGGGGAAGAAGGATAGGCTATAAGGGCATGTAGAGCATTTTGGTCCAGGCTATGGAGCTAGATGAAGGCAGTGGGGGCTATTAGAGAGTGTGAAGCAGGGGTATGACATATACAAACAGATTTGTGCTTCAGAAAGCTCCCTCTCAGAGAAATGATTGACAAAGACTAAGGCAGAGGTCATACCTTTTCAGCAAAAGGCCAGGTGGTAAATATTTTGCAGGCCCCAAAGTCTCTCTAAACTACTTATTGCAGGAAAGCAGCCATAGAAAATAAGTAACCAGATGAGCACAGCTATGTCCAATAAGCCATTATCGATGGACACTGAAGTTTCCATTTCACATGACTTTCATGTGCAACAAAAAATTCTTTTGTTTTCTCATCCCTTAAAAATATCAAAACCATTCTTAGCTTTGGATCATGCAAAAGCAGGTGACAAGCCACATTTGGCCCTCAGGCTGCAGTCTGATCATTGATAATACCTGCATCAGGGGCTAGGAGGGTGGAGAAGGTAGACAACTCTTTTTTTTGGGGGGGGGGTTTGTTTTTGGTGGTGCTGGGGTTTGAACTCAGGGCTTCATACTTGTTAAGCAGGTGCTGTTACCACCTGAGCCATTTCACCAGCCCCTAGACAACTCTTTTGAAAAGCTTATCTTTCAAGGGGAGGGGAGAAGTAGTGCAGAAGTTTCAGGCAGGTGTACAGGAAGGGCTGTTTATCAGAAAATTCCTGAAAGTGTGTACAGAGAGCAGAAAGGGACAGTAGAGAAGGAGCCACTGAAGATGGTGGGGGTGAGGGGTGATTATTGGAGTTGATCCTGGCAGAAGCAGAAAGGAAGTGATGGAATGAGCTTCCTAAAGGAGGAGGAAATACTTCTTTCACTGAGGCTGGAGGGGAGAAAGGATGGGTGGGCACTGGTGGGATATTTAAGCAGATTGCAGGGTTGGATTTTTTCCAGGATGCTTTGAATTTCCCAGTGAAAATAGAAGTAATGCTAGAATTCCAGGTGAGTTATTTATCTGAGCAATAAATTCACTCAAGATGATGGCAGGGCTGGGAAGAAGTGGAGAGAGAGAGAAAGCCTGTGAATTAGATGCCTAAGTACTCAGTGAATATGTGGGAGTGACCAGGAAATCATTAGATGTCAAAAACAAGGAAAGGGACAGGTGCCAGAGCTTCCACAAAGGGTGGAGGAGTAATGGGCTTGGACAATGAGGAGAAAGCAAAGTGCCATCTTCTTCAAGGCCACATGATAGAAGGTGTGGGTTGCATGTGCGTGCAGGACAGTAGGTTGTGACAAAATGTACTGGCTCCACTTGAAACATCTTCAGAACATGTGATGTCCTGGGAGAGGTACAAGAACTGGCAAAGTGAGGGGTTGGAAGGGCCATATGGGTAGCAAATGAGAGGTAGTTTATTCACAAGGGAGGACATCCCAGAGAGCACACTGACCAGGACAGACAGGGAGGGCAGTGGTGAGGGGGAGCACAGGGATAGGAGTAAGAAGTGGAAGCAGTGCTGGGTTGAAAGAACCACATTCTGGTGGGTTTTTTTTTTTTTTGTACTGATGTTTGAACTCAGGGCCTGGCATTAGGCAGGCACTCTACCAGTTGAGCCCCTTTTGCTTTTAGTTTGTTTTCAGGTAGGGTCTCACATTTTTGCCAGGGGTTGGCCTCAGACTGTTATGCTTCCTGCATAGTTGCTAGGATTATAGATACACACCACCACACCTGGTTTGAGAAGCACATTCTGAAGGAAGCCAAGGCCATGGGGACTGCAGTCTCAAGATTCATCCTGGAAAGCCAGGCATGGTGATTCATACCTGTAATCCCAGCACTCCAGAGGCTGAGGCAGGAGGATAATAAGTTTGAGGCCAGCCTGGACTATATGGCTATATATGGAGACCCTATCTCAAAAACAACAACAAAAACAAAACCACCACCGAAGATTCCCCCTGGAGCTTTGATAAAAATAGGTTGTTGAGGGAGCATACTAACTTGCTGGGGCTTGAAGATACTTGCTAATTGTGGTCATGGAAGCAAATCTGTAACTTTTTCTAAGTTCCAAGTACTTAGAGAGCAGAGGCAAAAGAACTTTGGAATTAGTGTTTAGGCCTGAAGAAGTAGGTAATCTCTTTCACCAGGTCTTTGGGACATAAAGATAGGTTTGGGAAGAGGGCAGTAAGAAGCCTAGGAAGGCTTCTCGCCTGGATTTCTTCCTCTCTGACACCCAGCCCTGTGGGAACAGGGCAGTGTGGTTAGGCTGGAGTTCTGGGGTAAGGGAAGGCAGCCATGAGGTGTCTTGAGAAGAAACAAAGACCCAGCTACTAGCAGGAAAGAACAGGCACAGACATTGTCTGGGATAGCTCCTGACCTGTCAGGGACAGAACTTGGAGCGGAACACCATTTTAGAGCTTCTTATTTGTTTTAAAGCTCACCATACTCGCAGAGCTTAAAGAGCTGCTTAGTGAGGAGCAAATCCTTCCTGGGGCAACTCATTGCTGCCTGAGAGTTATTTGTTTTGGCTGGGAGGTTTAATGGCCCTGAGATAAAAATGTTTGAGAAGCATGAGTTCTAGACAGAATCATAGGAATTGGATTGAAAATAGTACCAATGATGGTATGAAGACTTTGAGGAAGGATACATATTAATAGGGAGAAAAGAATGAGCTCATTTCAAAACATGTTTAGTTTGGGAGGGTGTAGGAGCCTCAACAGAACACACTGAGTACCCAACAGGTAGAGGCCTAAGGGAGGGTGGCAGGCCAGGGCTTGAGATTTGTAGCTCATTCATGTAGCAATAAAAGTCTAAGGAAAATGAAGCCCACACAGCTAAGAACTAATCAGAGAAGTATAGACAAAATAGGAACCCACTTTCCCCAAACACAAAGTTCAATTATGGAGGTGAGAGCTGTGAAAATTCTGCTGTTCAAGGTTGAAAGGCTGAGAACAGAGAAATAATCCTTGGGGAAGAGAGATGAGAGATAGGGGGTCAAAGGTGACTGCTGAGCTGGGGACATTTGTTTTAAAACAGCAGTTAAGGGGAAAAAGAGAAGACAGAGAACCTCATCACACCATGAAAGATTTTTTTTTCTTTTAGAAGGTAGGGGAATGTTTTAGAGTGTCGGTAAATTTGAGTACAAAATGGTTGAATTTTCTTTGCGAGGTTGATGAGTTTCTCTATACAAGTTCCTGATATGACAGATGACACGTGTTAGTATTAGTGTTAACATGCTTTTCAATACCTGAATATATGGACACACACATGATCCATGCCTTTGAGTCAATTTTTTTATGAACTAATACAGTGGGGTTTTTTTGTCCCTAATGTGAACACAAGGGGAACCTGATTTAAATCACAGAGCTGGAGATTGAGACCACTCCCAAGGGGACAACTTCTTATTCAGTTAAGAGGCACTGGGGGACGATATGGAGATAGTTTATGAAAGGTCGATTCCCCTGAGAACTCTGAGAACAGCATTAAAGTACAGAAAGCGCAGTCTGCCTCTGCTTGACTACACTGAGTCTCTGTTTCTTCAGCAAAAGGCAGTGGGGTAGATTGGACGGCCTTTCATTCCCTGGCGGCACTAGAGTGTGCGGGTCCGCAGGGAGGAGGGCCAAGGAATCAGGGAGAGGGAGCTTTAGGTTCTGCGGCCCCTTTAAGAGAGGTGGCCTTGCGGGCGGCGCGCGCTCCGACGGCTTCGCTCTTTCCCCGCCCCTTTCCCGTGAGCCCTCGGGGAGTGGTCCGACCGCGGGCGGCTCTGGTGAGGAGAGGGGTGGGGGGCGGGGGAGACATGGCTCTGGCTCGACGCGGCTGGCGGCGTACGACCCTTCGCCGTGGCGTTGGCGTTGTGTGTCAGACCCGCCCGCTCATGCGGCCCCTCTGGTTGCTCCTCGCAGTGGGCGTCTTTGGCTGGGCCGGGGCTTCGGACGGCGCCAGCGGAGCAGCCAGAGCCATGGACGAGGAGATTGTGTCTGAGAAGCAAGCGGAGGAAAGCCACCGGCAGGACAGCGCCAACCTGCTCATCTTCATCCTGCTGCTTACCCTCACCATTCTTACGATCTGGCTCTTCAAGCACCGCCGGGCCCGCTTCCTGCACGAAACTGGCCTGGCTATGATTTATGGCAAGTGCCTCACACCCCTGGTCCGCCCCCTGGCACTGTCCATTTCTCTGCCCGCCGGCTGCTTCGTCTCCTCTCCGGGCCCTACTCGGCCTACATTCGGCTCCCATTTCAGTTCCTTCCATTTTCTGCCTCGTCTGACCACCCTCTCTCGTTTATCTACCTCAGCCCCCTTTATTTCTGCTACGCCCCCCATTTCGCTACTTCGCCTCCCTACCTCCTTGCCCTCGCCCCCCATTTTCTCTGTCTCTCCTCACATTTTTTGCTCACAGCCCAACCCCGTTTTTCTCTGCACCCGCTGCCCCTTCTCTGCCTACCAGTCTCAGGACCAGGATGGACATTGAGTATGGGAAGGGAGTGGGTGCGGTGTCTCGGATTGGGCTGGGGGAGGGGAAGGCATCATTGCAGTCTATTTGTTGGGCGGGGGGAATCAGTTTGTTTTAAGGTTCATTGAAGCTGCAGTAGAATCTCTACTGTCCAGCATTTGGCATTCTTTTGGAACCAGAGTCGACCTTTACTCATTGCCCAGCTCTTCGCTATGCCTTGTCCTTTAGATGTTGAAAATGAAAACCTTAGTCCTGTGGAACCCAAGCAAAATAAAAACCTGAACGTGAACTACGGTACAGAAGGCTTAGAGCATTTTAAATGACGTTCTGATTTACTGTACTATGCCTGGAATATCTGATAGGAAGATAAATGATAAACTCTTTCAATTCAGAATGAGTAGGAGTTATAGTTCTTCCAGAAGCGTGGTTCCCTATGCTGATGAGGACACTTCGGCCAAGCAGTAATTAATATCACATATATGCAATATGGGTGATTTGCTGTTGGTTGGCGTGAGGTTTTTGATGGATTGTTGAGAGAAAGGCTTCGGTTCCTGGGTCTCACTGTGTTTTCTTTTGCAGGTTATTCATTTATTTTTGTTTTTTTTTTTTTTGGTGATGAGGCAAGAAGGTAAATCAAACCATGGGCTCAGAGGCATTTTAAACCATGTTTCAGGGGAAAAGAAGACACGAATTGCTGACTGTCTTGCTCTAACTGTGAGGGCACAGCTGAAGAGATAAGGGCAGACAAACAATCCTGTCTTTGCAGTACATGTGTGAAGATAGTCTTCATCTGGAACCTCCTTAAATTGTTGAGTTGGTTCACATTGTCTCTAAGAGTGCAGATAGGTAATCAAAGCTTTGGCACATAAAGATGTTTCTCCACTTAGCTCCCCAGTCACCAGCCCCTTTCCAGTAAATCCAGACTTCTAGAATGTATATGCATCTCAAGGGTAGTAAGGAAAGGTAGGGCTCAGGATAATGCATGAACTCAGGTTTCACTTGTAATATAATAAAATTCTAAGACTGTGTGTAAACTATCTTTGCTCTCCAGAATTCCTAGTTTTTAAACATACTAAGAGATTTTTAATTTCATCTTTTTGCATTGCATTTGCAGTGCCCCTTAAGGCAAGTTAGCCAGATAAACTATGCATTTTTATATAATTTCTCTGTATGACAATGTGCAATTTTGTTTGCTATCCTGAACAAACATTTACTGAGTAGTCTACTATGTATTATGCACAGAAAATACAAGGAAGTGTAGGACTCTTGCCTTCAAGGAACTTATAGACAAGTCATAAAAAGAAAATAATAGCATCTTAGATTTTGTTAAATGCAATTGAGTATTGTAGTGTTAAAATAAGGACTTGATTGAGAGAGAGTATGATATGATAGTTGAAGGTACAAGGCTTTAGACCAGAGGTCAGCAAATTTTTTCTGTAAAGTGCCAAATAGTAAAGATTATTCACTTTATGGGTCATATACACCTCCACGTCTGTGTTGCATTTTAGTCTTTGTTTTTTCTTTTTATAAACCTTTAAAAATATAAAAATCATTTTTAGCTCTTGGACCATACCAAAACAGACTGAGGGCTATAGTTGAAAGCCCCTTTAAGTTGGGCCTGGATTCCTGTCCCACTGTGCCAATAGCTATGTGTCATTTCAGGCAAGTCCCTTCTCCTCTTATACCCTTATCTATATATTAGGGATAATGAATGTAAGCTTATTGTGAGGAAGAAATGTTTTTAGCCTAGTATTTGACCCCTAAGTAAATGCTCAATAAAATAAATGTCTGTGGTATTATTTCTGTTGCAAGTGCATTTTCTCAGGTTAGGCTTAGAACAGTTCTATTAATGCTCAGCATTATAAGTTGACAGGCAAACAGTATATATATATATATATATTTTTTTACAATGACCTTATATGAAAAGGATTTATTTTTCTAATTATACAAGTGAGGAAATTACAAATCAGAGAATATAAGAGCTTTCCCAGAGATGAAACAGCCAGAAAGTGATGTAACCAGCCTTAAGATTTTATCTTACTCCAAAACCCATGCACCCATGCTCTTTCCATCAGGGAGGGCACTGTGTGTGTGTGTGTGTGTGTGTGTGTGTGTACACGCACATATGTGGTGGAGTACAACAGTGGTTTATGTTTATGGCTGAATTGCATCCATAAAGAAAATCAGGCAGTTTCCCCAGAGGACATGTCACTATGCATAGTCACTAGGAATTAAGTTAAAGTACAGATGATAACAATAATAATAAATAATAATTATAGCAGTTACCATTTATTAAGCACTTAATGATGTGAGACACAACGATAAACTCTTTGCTTGAAATAATCTGTTTGATCATCTTAATAACTTAAGAAATAAGTTTTAAAGGGCAGAAGTCTAAGATTTAGAGAGCTTATGAAAAATGTCCAAGACTACAAAGTTTTTAAGGCACAAGGATGGATTCAAACTCAGAGTTACCTATACACTTCTTCCCCCCAGAAAAGTACTCTTTAATAGAGACTTTGAATTGTCCTGGAAATATTTGTTCTTTGGTAGCTGATACCATTAACTTCTTCTAACTTGTGGGCTAAAGTAGAAAGGTAGGATTACTGATTGCATTTCCTGAGGTTCCTAATTTTAAAAGTGGTAAGAGTATTTGCTAACAGTAAGTCACCCGTATTGCATATGTGTTCCTTTGGTGAAGGAAAAGCATGGGTATCTCTTGTGGAATATAAAGTGCTAGACTGTTAGTCCTGGAGTCAAATCTGGGATTGATTTGGCATTCTTTAGCCTGTCCCATTTTCTCAGTGAGCAATGGGGGCTGTGCACTAAACAGCCTCCTAACTCCCTAGACAGTTCGAAACTAGATGGGATTGGGAAAAAGTATTTTCAATACCATGGAAATTGAAATGTTCTAATTTTAATTACTGTCATTTACCTTTTCTTATGACTCTTGTACCATCCTAGCTATTGTGTTACTGTGTTATTTTAAGACCTTTATTTTTCAGCTTGACTTCCAGGTGAAAAGAGAATGTCTACACATCTAAGACTCAGCCTGCTAGTGATCTTATTCTTATAATCAGTTTAGCTACTAACTACTCCTAGAAAAATGCTACTTCAAATGAGCCTTTCCTTTATCTTTTTGACGAGCAAGGGTAAAAAACTTTTAATTGCTAATTTGGTCAGATTCTAAATTGTAATATAGACTGCTCTGGTTACAAACACAATCTCAAGGCATCCACGTGTTTTGTTCATTGGGTTAGCTTTAAGGAGCTTAAAAGTGAGTCACTGTTAGTACAAATGTTCAAGATAGTTAATTAAGTCTGAAAAATGATCTCTGTAGTGTGCTTACAGATAGTATAAGAAGCAAAAGGCAAAAAATATGTTTGCTTTACGCTTAGGGGATCCTGTTTAGTTAGGTCCTAGGCTTAACCAATGTGATTCATCAATAAACATTTATTAAATGTCTGTGATATATGGGATGTGGTATGAAATGCAGGTTTTAGCCATGGTCCCTTGCCCACAAAGCACTTAAAATCTAGTGACTTTATAGATAATATTTGTTGAGCATTACAATGTGTTAGACATTGTGCTAGGCGCTTTAGAAGTATCATTTCCTTTAAACATAACAACCCTGTGAGGTGGACACTATTATTTTTCCCACTTTATAGGTGAGGAAATTGGGGCCCAGAGAGGTTAAATGACCTACCTGAAGTCATAATTTGTAAGTATTTAGCCAGGATTCAGATCCAGTCAGTCTGATTCAAAAGCTCCATTCCCTGAGCCCCTAAGCCATAGCAGAGGTCAGCAAAATTCTTGACTTTCTTGGCTATCCTGAAATTGAATTCGCTTTTAACACAGACTCTAACCGCATTCTTCAAGAAGTAATCAGTTAATCTGTAGGAATTTTATCAGTTTGGACCATACTTAATGCCCATGATGTTCCTTCCATATTTTTGACTATCAGAGACTTCAAGTGTGATAAGGTGGAAGACTGGGCTGAAATTCATGAGAAAGCCAGTTTCTACTAACTCAGAGACTCAGACAATAATGGGGCCTTACTGAGTTCCTTATCACTGGGAGAGTTTCCAGCACAAGTGGGTCACAAATATGTGGCAGGAGTAGATTTCTCTATTTTGTGAAAGATATCTCTTTGTGTTTGTATATTACCTGTTAGTGGTAACTTTAAATTTCATAATATCAATTTATTCTGTGCCTCTGTGTAGGAGGCTAGAAGTTTCTGGTTTATCTTCCTAACAAAGTACTCTTTTTTTGTGTTCTTTCTTTTTACTGAGAATTGCTTTAACTCCATGATTAGGATTTGACCTTTTACAAGAGCCCATATTTACTTGATCTGTCAGCTGTTTTCAAAGAAATTCTAATTTTTTCAGATGCCTGATGCTGTAATAAAAGGATTGTGATTTTTTCCAATCTAAGTACTTATTCTCCATGCTATGGATTTATTTCCAAGGTGTGTGTTTCAAATCTGCCCGATTGCTGAGTCCTTGTCAGGGACACTGTTCCACTGATGCGTCAGTGTATGGCTGACTTGCAGAGGAACCAGGGAGCACTGTTCGTTACATAGTTGGACTTGGGGATGTGGAAAACATCTATGCTGCTGTTATTAGTATTTGTAGTAGCTAATCTGTGAGTTTTGCATGTAAATATAAAGAAGCAACTTGTACTGATCCTGTTAATTAAGAAGGTTGGTGGGCTAATTAAGAGCTGCTTCTGTATCATATAGGACTGTATAGCTATGTAGCCTTTTCTCTCCCAGGTTATGTCTATCAGGCACAATTGATACCCAGCCATGACTTTTTTATGTTTTTGGAGGTACAATTTTAAAAAAGTGAATCATTAATTTTAATTTGAACTTTGGCTAAAATGTTTTTAAAGTTGACATCATTATTTGTTTTTATTTTTTTGGTGGTACTGGGGTTTGAACTCAGGGCCTCACACTTGTTAGGCAGATGCTCTACCACTTGAGCCACTTTGCCAGCCCCTAAAGTTGACATCATTGTGTTGTTCAGTTCATCATTGCTATCTACTTTAAAAAACGTGTGTGTAGAAAAAACACAAAAACAACAAAAAAGAGAAAAACAAGTGTGATTTTTAAGTTAACTAGAAGGATCTGCATCCTTACTCCCTCCCTCTTTCCTGACCATTATTGCTTTTACTTCCCCCGTTTCTGCTTCCTTCTCCCCACACTGATCTGGCTTTTACCTTCACTACTCCACTGAAATTGCCCTCATCAAGGTCACTTGTGCCCTCCTTGTACATCAAACAACGTGTCCATAACTGAACTTGGCTTTTTCTCTTGTAAATCCATTCTGCCTGTGTTCCTGCTTCACTGAATGGCCCTGCCACTCACCTAGGTGTTTAGGCCAACTTATCTTGGTTACCAAGTCCATTTAGTCTCTTCTTTGTCTTTCCTCTCACCTCCTTCCCCTCAGCCTATTGTACTCAGTCATCAGATCTTTCTAAAATATAATACCTTCTAAAATGCCTTCTCTCTTCCTGTCATTACTGTCTTAGATTGTCTTATTACCTGAATGACAGCAGTGGCCACTTATCTGGTCATTTAAACCCTCTCTACTCTAGACCAGCAATCTGATGTCAAGCTTCTGCTTAGAACCCTTCTATAACTTCCTTTTGCTCTGGGAATAAAGTCCAAATTCACTTCCTCAGCAACACAGTCTTATGATTCGGCTCCTGTAGATCTTTCAGACCTTACTGCTTATCATCTGCTATGAAAGTCATACTAAACTGCTTGTTATTCCCTATATGGGCTGTGTTCTCTGCTTCTTCCTTGATTGGATATATACTACTATTCCCCTACCTGGAGTATACCCTTTCTTCTGTTTTGGTACCTGCTCAGGTGACACCACTGCAAAGACTTCCCTAATGGCCCACACCTTCAGCTTAGGTATCTCTTTTCTGTTTTTATAACACCTTGTATAGTGTGTATACTGTATGATGATTGTTTATTTGGTAAGTTTTTGCCAGCAAGACTGAGAGCTCCTTGAAGGAGGGACTTTGTTTTTGTCTCTGAACCCAGAGCCGTTAGATACCTAGTGTAGTATTATATTCACATCTTACAAGAATGGCTGACTGGTCAGAATGAAAGGTCACAGCATGGTAAAATGTAGCTAGTAGCCATATATTGTGCATCTTGGCATTAAGGAAAGTTCCAGAAGTTTGGGTTCAGTTTGCAATTGAGGTATATCCATACAATAGAATACTATTTGGGCATAAAAATGAATGAAGTTCTGAAACATACTACAATATAGATTAACCTTGAAAATGTTATACTAAGGGAAAGAAGCCAGACACAAAAAGGCTACATATTATAGGATTGCATTTATATGAAATGTCCAGAATAGGCAAAGCTATAGAGCAAGAAAGTAGATTACTGGTTGCCAAGAGCTAGGGGTTTGGGAGAAAGGAAAATAATATTTTGATTCTTTTTAGAGTGATGAAAATGTTCTGGAATTATATAGTGGTAATTGATATGAACTTTATGAACATGCTACAGTATCCTGAATTGTACAATTTAAAAGGATAAACTTTATAGTATGTGAATTATATCTCAGTAAAGCCATTATTAAACAGTTGTAGTTGCTCATGATCGTTTTTTGTTTTTTTTTTTTTTTTTTTGCAGTACTGAGGTTTGAACTCAGGGCTTCTTGCTTGCTAGGCAGGCACTCTGCCACTTGAGGCACTCCACCATCCCTGTTTTTTTGTGTGTGTGTATTTTTTTTTTTTCTGAGATAGGGTCTCTCAAACTCCTTGCCTAGGACTGGCTTTGAACCCCGATCCTCCTGATCTCTGCCCCTGAGTAGCTAGGATTACAGACGTGAGCCACTGGTGCCTGGTGATCAATAGTTTTATAAAACCTAGAAAATTGTGCATATTTGGATATCCGAAGTAAAATCCTAGCAATATGTTGATTATACAGCAACACAACCAGGAGTTTTATTTCATGTTTTGATTTTTCAGAAGATATTTACATTTGGGGGGGTGGTCCTAGGGTTTGAACTCAGGGCCTCATGCTTGCTAGGAAGGCGCTCTACCTCTTGAACCACTCTGCCAGCCCTTTTTTGGGTGTTTTTGAGATAAGGTCTCACAAACTTTGCCTGGGCTGGCTTCCAACCACAATCCTCCTGATCTCTGCCTCCTGAATAGCTAGGATTGCAAGGGTAAGGCCCTGGTGCCTGGCAATATTTTAAATTTTAAGTCTGACTTTTTAGTAGTGGAAGAATTCAGTCAATCTACAAATAATATATTCACTTTCTGATTTCTTAAATGTATATTATTTGGCTAGTCATGTGCTTTGGGAATAAACTTGGAAAGCATGTGTGTTAAGTCTTGTGAATTGATTGATAGAGGTTAAAAAAAAACATTTCTTTTCTTTTTTTCCTTTTTTTTGTGGTGCTGGTGATGGAACCCAGGGTCTTGCATATTGGTAGGCAAGCATTATACCACTTAGCTACATCCCCAGCAGTAAAAAACACATTTCTAATAAGACTACATTGTTAGGTTGGCATACCTTGGAGTATATTCTGTGTACAGATGATTTGAAGATATTTTCTCATCTTGTTACTTTTCTCATCACTTATGTATATGTTGATCCAGAAATGCAGTGACTAGTGCTGTTAACCCAGGGAATGTTCTTTCCTTCTGTCCCACTGGATTACATGACGATTGAGCTCTTGTATGCGTGAATTTAGTAATACTTTAAACTGTAACTGTTTGGTCTAAAATTTGATTCTCTATCACAAGGGACTATCATTGGAGATTTATTGTTATCAAAGTAGAGGTGTATGTTGGATACAAGTAAGTAGTCTCTTTTGCAAGAAAAGTTTATGTTGGTATTTTATTTCCAGGTCTTTTGGTGGGCCTCGTGCTTCGGTATGGCATTCATGTTCCAAGTGATGTAAATAATGTGACCCTGAGCTGTGAAGTGCAGTCAAGTCCAACAACCTTGTTGGTAAATGTTAGTGGAAAATTTTATGAGTATACACTGAAAGGAGAGATTAGCTCGCATGAACTCAATAACGTTCAAGATAATGAAATGCTTAGAAAGGTAAGTTTTTTAAAAAACATTTTTTTTTGAGACAGGGGTCTTACTGTGTAGACCAGGCTGGTCTTGAACATGCTCCTCAGCCCAGGCTGGCCTCAAATTCTCAATTTTGCTATCTTAAACTCTTGAGTGCCAAGATTACAGGTATATGCCATCACACCCATCTGAAAGATAAGTTTTTACTTAAAAGAATCTTAAGGTTTTTAAAAATGTGTGTAACTACAGAAAGGTGACTGAACAAAAACAATGAATATTTAATATTTAAGGTAATCTTTAAAAATAGGGCAAAACCTCTCGTAATAAATACATATAAAAATGGATATTTTATCCATCTTATTTTCTGATCAAGGCTGAGTGCTATGACTCTTCTTGTTTCACTCTGTTGTTTACAGTTGTTGTAATAAATAATGTCCAGGATTATAGGAAGTGGAATATGTGAACATTTCTTTCAATTTATAGATTGTGTTTATAGTTTTAGAGAATTTTAGCACATTAGGTTTATTTAATACTACCTAAAATATTTCATTAATATTTTTTTTAATTCTCCTTGCCTTGATTGTGTTCTGTACTAATCTTTCTTTGATTCATATTCTGTCCCAATTTCTAGGACCTCACTATGAACCTCTGTTATTGTACCATGCTGTACATAAAACTTTATGTGGGAAGTTGGGTTGCAATCCCTCTGGCTCCCAGACATTCCTGGAGCTACTTGCTTCTGTCCCACTCAAAGCTCCTCTCATGAAGCTTCTCATTGCCACTGCACGTTTCTTTCTGTTTTTTTCCCACCTTGACCATTTGCTTCCACTTCTCCTATCTTCTACATTGGCAGAACTTAGAACTTGATTGCTATAGCAACCCAATTATTTTCCTGACCATCTTTAATGGTTTTTAAATTTCCTGTGAACTTATAATTTACTGTGCAACAGTACTTCTCACCACCTGTGGAAAATTCCAGTTCCTTAAAAGTTCTAGTAAACTAAGTTTTAGCACGAGTATGTGTATAGCTGCTTTGTATCGATTTGTATGCAGCCTTTATGTTATATATGTAACTTTAGAGATGTCACCTATGTAATAAGTCTATTTCCTCTTGCCAACAAAAATGATATAACCCTAAATTTTGTTGCTGGTTTTTGGGTTTCTTTTATTTAAAGCAAAAATATGTTTGTGTTTTTTCCTATCTTTAAAGAATTTTAAATATGATTTTGATATACTTTGCATAGATAAGGTGTAACTGTTCCAACACTATCTTCTTGTCATTTGGTTGAATGGTTGAACGACAGTTATCCTGTATGACATTATTTTACAGGAAAAAGAAAAAATTTATTTTGTGCCTAAAAAGACTTCCTGTGTGAAACATTGTAAGTTAACGTAGTAATGTTCTTGCTGTTGATCAACTAAGTTTAACATTTAAATTTTTTGATAATGTAGTATGAGGGCTTCTAAGGGAATTCACCTAAAGAATTCTTTATTTTAACAGGTTACTTTTGATCCAGAAGTATTTTTCAACATATTACTTCCTCCTATCATATTTTATGCAGGTTATAGTTTGAAAAGGGTAAGTCCTTTTGCTTTTCGTATACTTTGAACAGCCTTAAACTTCCCAGTGAGTTATAATATTTGACACTTCAGAAACAAGCCATTCTTGCCATATTCCCTTCCCTTTTCTCCTTATCCTTTTTAGATGCTGAAATTTATGCCTATTCAAGAATACTTTCTCTTATTGATTTTTTTCTAGTGAATAATGCATTTAATATTAGTATAGTACACTAGGATGGAAAATCTTTTCTTTGTCAAGTACTTGGTGGGTATTCTAATACAGAATGTTTTTTTTTTGTCAGAGACATTTTTTTCGGAACCTTGGGTCTATCTTAGCATATGCTTTTCTTGGAACAGCAATTTCTTGTTTCGTTATTGGGTAAGCATTTGAATCTTAGAATATTTTTCACCTTCAAATTATAATTCTAAAATGATACATTTTTGATTTATATGGTATTGTGTTCCTGAATGCATTTAAGGATTTTTGCAGTAAAATATATTCACATAGGTAATAAGTTCTTTGAACTTTCTTTAAAACCAAGGTATTAACTATATTTATATGTCATTAGTTAAATTTGGGATTAATCACAGAGTGCTATAGTAGATCCATCTTTTTATCTTATTTTATTCTAACTTCTTTAATAGTTGATATTTTTCTCAAGTAGAAATATGTTTATTGAACAGGTCCATTATGTATGGCTGTGTAATGCTGATGAAAGTAACTGGACAACTTGCGGGAGATTTTTACTTTACAGATTGCTTGCTGTTTGGTGCTATTGTATCAGCAACAGACCCAGGTAGGTTTTACGTGAGTGGAGCTGAAATACTTCAGGTACAGTGGTTTCTAGTCAAAGCACATGTGGGTGTTTTGTGGAGGTGTAGAATCCATGATTAGGTACTTCCCTAGCACTAAACTTATCAGTTGGGGAGGAAAAAGTAACTCATGATTCCTTTTGGATTAAGCACACATATTTTTTCTTTTACTTCTTTAATACATTTGCCTATTACTGATTCACAAATTGGTGAGATGAGGGCTTTAAGACATTTTCTTCAGAAATTTAGCTTGGTCTAGATCCTTAGTGATTGGATATAGCAAAAAAAAAACTAGATTATAGGTTTGTTAAAATGGGTAATAATTATATCTTTTAAACTCCTAGAAAACCAGTTCCCTAAAATCTTCTGTTTATATTTAGCTATCTTTATTCAACAGTAAGAAAAATAGTTTTAAAAGATTATTAGTAGGCAGCTGTGCTAATACTGATAGGGTTTTGAGTCATCAGTGGTCTTTAGTATACATCAAATAATTCAAATAATTAGTTTTTTGTTTTGTTTTGTATTTATTTAGTTTTTTAGGTTTTTTTTTTTTTTTGCAGTACTGGGGCTTGAACTCAGGGCCTTTACCTTGAGCCACTTCACCAGCCCTTCTTTTGTGAAGGGGTTTTCAAGATAGGGTCTCGTGAACTATTTGCCTGGCTGACTTTTGTGATCCTCCTGATCTTTGCCTCTTAGTGGCTAGGATTACAGGTGTGAGCCACCAGCACCCAGCAAAGAATTGTTTTTTTAATAGAGTTGGTCTTATGGCTATAAAACTATTTTGGTAGTAACATAGCTTGCCTATCTGTGCTTTTAGTGTTGGATCTCTAAAAATTTGTGTTACTGAATTAATTTAATTTTACTGAATGAAGTTTTAGTTTTTGTAATATAGGGTTGGTGAGTTTAACAGCTATATTCAAGTTAGGAATTTGGAGAAAATGTAGGAGAAAAGGTCAGAGAACACAGACTAAAGGGTCTTGTGGTATATTTTATTTATTTGTTTGTTTTTGGAGATAGAATCCAGAGTCTTGAACATGCTAGCCAAGGACTCAATCACTGAGCTATACCTCTGGTATCTAGACTAAAGTTTTTGAACTAAAGATCCAAGTTTTCTTTTATTATGAGGTAGGACATTGGTAGAGGTTTGCTGTTTCATCTTTTGACCTTGTAAGTTAATCTTCTTTAATTGTCCTGCAGCACAATTAAAGGTAGGGGCCTAAGGTTATGTTCGATTCTTGTGTTAATTGGTTATACAGGACATGATGAAAAGGAGGAATGTGTATTCCGTACTGTATAAGAGATGATTTAAAAAGATTACTCAAAGTGCCATTTAAGAGAGACATTTATGTAGTTTAACATTTTTAAAGCTGGAAGTCATATTGCTTCCTTAAAGACTGTCCGTTTTGTTTGTAGTGCTTCTATTTTCAATACAAAAGTAGAATGGTTTTTACAGGGAACTAGTAGTCTCTGGTTTCTGTATCCTTTTACCAGAACTAAGCTCCTCAACTTTTCAAAGCCTATGCTGAAACCTAAGTTGATTGGACTGGCTACATTACTTCAACCTTCTGGGTTTTATTTGGTAGGAATATTGTCTGACTAGCTCAAGTAAAAATCCTTTGCTCATATAAGTTGTACAGTTATAATATGTAGGTACTTGCCCCAATTCTGTTACTTTAAAATTGTTAACTTTTTGGGGGGGAGGGCATTACTGAGGTTTGAACTTAGGGCCTTGCACTTGCTAGGCAAGTGCTCTACCAGTTGAGTCACACCCCCAGTGTGCAATTGTTAATGTTCTAGAAGGCTAAGCTGTAGGTTTTATTTTCAAAATTCTGTAGCATTTCTCCACCCTCATTCTCTCTCCCGGTATGCTTTGGTGTCAGTATACTCCAGCTGCAATACTTTGCAGTAGAAATTATGTCTTTTAAAATTCAAATTTCCTGTTTTTATGGTTGGCATTTAAAAAGGCTCTCCTGTCTCTGGTTACATTAATCTTTCCTGCCTACTTGTGTTTATTTAGTGGGTGAACTATATGTGACTCATCAGTTAAAGTTATAATGCAATTTCTCAATCTTATCTGATTTTCTAAGACTTCTAATATAATTGCTTCCTTAAAAGAAGGTTTTGTTGTTATGTTTTTCTTCCTTTATCCTATCCTGTTAGTTTGTTTTTTCAGTTAAATATGGCAACTATAATTCTGGTCATAAATTTCACCCCAACCAAGAACTAAACTTGTGTATTCATTTCCTACTCTTGCTAAACCATTGTGCTTACAATTTACAAGTCAAATGGAAGTGAGTGGTAAGGCTCCAATGAAAAAAGGGGTGTTTGCAGCAACAGATGCTTTTTATACTGTTCTTCATTAAAGATTAATGATTGCCTAATCTGTAAGAAATTCTGAATATATTCTTAATGAAAAAGAAATGTACTAAACGATATTATTAACATTTGCATGAGGAATGTAGGTCAACTTAGACCTCCAAGGTTATTTTCAGTTGTTTTTAAGAGAGAGAGAAAGGAGCTATTGAATGTACACAATTGGAGGAAAAATATTGACATGAAATTGCTGGATCTTTAATATGGTAAGAGAATATTAAAAAGATGAAAAAATGAATTCTAAGTAACTAATAATCAACTTTTGAGGGAAATTTATTTATAATGTCTAAATATTCTTCTGACTTTTTACTTGCTAGTGACTGTTCTTGCCATATTCCATGAGCTTCAAGTTGATGTTGAACTCTATGCACTTCTTTTTGGTGAAAGTGTCCTCAATGATGCTGTTGCCATAGTGCTGTCCTCGTAAGTGTTTATTTTTGTATTATATTCAGAATGTTTCATGGGATACTAGGAACTGAAAGTCACTTATTGAATAAAGTGCATTAGAGTAGAAACGTTTGGAAGAGGGAGTCTCCTCCCCAACCCTGGCAGAATTACACACTTTATAGATAATTTGGAAAATGCAAAGAAGAAAAAATAATGTGTGTTCCTTCCACCTAAAAACAATTACTATAAGTATTCTAGGATATTTCATTTTACTGTTTTACTATGTATGATGTTTTTATATAATGGTAATTATAGCGTCTGTAATTTTATAATCTTTTAACATTACAACAAACACTTTTTAATTAGATTTAATTTTTGAACAGATAATATATTCATATGGTTCAAAAATAAAAACTATATAAAATGTTTATACAAAAAAAGTCATATTCTTATTCTTGTCTTCATAAACTTGTCTTCTGGCCCCTTAGAACTAACAATTTTCTTGTTTGTTGTTTTTTTACTTTTTTTGGGGAGTACTGGGGTTTGAACTCAGGGCTTCATGCTTGTATGGCAGGTGCTCCAATGCTTGAGCCATGCCTCCAGCTAGAGCTAACCTTTATCATTAGTTTCTTGTGTGTCCTAGTATTTATTCAAATGCAAGCTTAATAGATATGAATAAATATTTTACTTCTCTTTTTTAAATTTTTTGCTGTTCTAGGAATTGAACCTAGGGCTAGGCAAGATACTCTACCACTGAGGTACATCCACAGCCTCTCATTTCTTCTTACTTTTTATGAGACAGGATCTGGCTATATAACCTAGGCTGGCCCCAAATTCACAATCCTCCTGCCTCAGTCACTTCTTATTTGAAAGTAGCCTACAATATATATGTAAGAACATAGGTATATTTTGGCAATATTTTCACATCAAAAGACAGTTTTCTTACTCTTTGCAGCTACATAGTATTCCATGTGTGAATTGTACTATAATTTATTTGCTCAGTCTCTTATTGCAGGAAACTTGAAGGATTTTTAATCCTTTGGTATCCCAAATAGTACCGCAGTATTTAACCTTGAAATTCCTTCTTTTTTTTTTTTTTTTACATACTTAGGTATGTGATAGGATAAATTCTCTGAAGTGAGATTGGTGGGCTTACAGGGTAAATATGTTTGTAATTTTATTTAACATTGATAAATTGCCTGTCAAATTGTTAAATTATATCACTTTATGCTTTAACCACTAAATTATAGGAGTGTCTGTTTCCCCACAACTTCATCATTGTTTTTGCCAACTTCATAATAGAGAAATATCTGATGGTTTGCTGCATGTTTCTCTTATTTAACATAATCATTTCAGAAACATTTTTATCTTAGAAGTGTTAAATACACTTTATTGAAGATAATTATTGAATGAATAGTTACAGAAATTATAGAATTATAGAAATGACTATATGTGTTATTACAAAGTGTTTGGAGGTAGAAGAATGGCTGTGAACCACTGAGAAATTCAGTCCTGCCTACCCACTCTTACTAACCAAATATCTAATACTGTATGTCTTTAACTTATACTAGAACTTTTGCAAGAGAGAGGTAAAAAGCTCTTCACATTTTCTCTTTATTTTCAATTCTTCTTAATTTCTACTTTGTTAACTATAACAGAGTGGTAAGTCATCAACTCTAGTTTGCATAACCACCTGCTCCTGTTGACCTTGTAAGATGCATAGTATTCTACTGAATGGATATACCATAATTAGCTTGGAGAATTAAATTCACACTATTTTAAAAATTTTTAAAAATTTGAACTTGCTGGTATACATATACTGTATGGTAAAGAAGAAATGTGTTAAAAAGAGAAAACCCTTTCCATAGTACTCACAGAGGGACACATTCTTCCTACTGCAGCTGTTCTCAAACAGGATTCTTTGAGAGAATAAAGCCTTGCAGAAAACAATTTGAGTGATTCTTTTCTTAATTCTCTGAAGGATGGTATATATCTAGTACCATTCTGAGTTAATAGGGGAAATGTTAACTCATTACATCCTCTGGTGCAAAATTTGTGGAAAATGTCTGCATTTAGAAAGTATTATTAACAGGAGAATTGTTAGCTGTGTAAGTATCTTAATGGAGTTGAGCAAATGAGTTTCTGTCCCATAGCTGGAGGGAAACCAGTGGTGTTGCTGGCTATGGGAAGTTACTAGTTGGATTGCTCAGCAGTACATTGACCATTGTCTTTCATTTGCTTTTGATGTGTTTTAAAGTATGTTAGATATAAACAGTCTACTTTGTGTTGCATTCTCTTAGTTTCATAACTACTGTGTATATTCTATATAAGCAGTTTTACATCAAAGAGGAGGGGGTAGTTTATTAGATTAATAGTCCTTTTTAAAAAAAATTAATATTTTAAATAAATTTCCTCATACTTTGCTATGAAATAGTTCTATATATATGGATATAATATGGTATATACATCTATTTAGAGAAAAAGTATGAGATGCATAGTATTCTACTGAATGGATATACCATAATTGGCTTGGAGACCTAAATTCACACTATTTTAAAAATGTTTTGCAGTCATTTATTTACATTGTATAAAAGAAGAAGAAGTATAGTGAATAAACAAACATGACCAACTATTTAACTTCACTAATTATCACAGTTATATATATTAAAATAAGTGGTTATTTTTCCTGTTCAATTAATAAGACAAAATTGTTAATAATAGTTACTACTGGTAATGGTATAATACAGTCATTCTTAACTGGGGGCAGCTCCTCTGGGCGAATATTTGACAATGCCTAAGGACATTTTGGTTGTTACGAATGGGAGGAGGTTATTACTGGCACCTGTTGGGTAAAAAGGTATACAGGGCAGTACCTCCCCCAGCCAAAAAATTGCTGTCTGACCCCAAAATATCAATAATGCCAGGGTTGAGAAACCCTAGTGTAGTGAAACTAGACCACTCATAAATTGTTAATACTGAAATTGATATTCTCTTTTTTATCATTAATAATCATAAAATTGATACATTTTTATGAAAAGAATTCAAAGTATTTAAGTTAGTAGAAAATTTCTGAAATTTCAGCTCAGAAATAACCACTGTTGGGGTTTTTCATCCAGACTTTTTTCATGAGGGTATTAACATACATATAAACATTAACTTTTAATCAGAAAAGGCATAGGACTGTACATACTTTTCTATAGCTTGCTATTTTCACTTGAACATTACACTATATTCATGTCTCTGGTATTCCACTATATGGGTACACTATAAATTTACCTTCACCAATCCCCTGTTTATTAATATTTTGACTTTTTTGGTGCTGGGGATGGGACCCAAGGCAAGCACTGTACCACTAAGCTATACCCCCATTACAATATCTGGCATGTTCTATTGTCATGTTGTTATGGCTAGCATTGTAGTGAGCATATTTATGTATAAATCTCTGAATCCTAGAGAGTATTTCTGAGGGAGACTTTTTGTATGCTACTGTGGATCAAATTTAGGGCCTTCAGCTTGCCAGGCAGGCATTCTACCACTTGAGCCTCCAGCCCATTTGCTTTAGTTATTATTTTTTTGTGGTACTGGGGCTTGAACTCAGGGCCTACCATTAGCCATTCCATTAGCCCTTGAGCCATTCCATTAGTCCTTTTTTTGTGAAGGATTTTTTTCGAGATAGAGTCTCACGAACTGTTTGCCTGGGCTGGCTTTGAACTGCAATCCTCCTAATCTCTGCCTCCTGAGTAGCTAGGATTACACTTGTGAGCCACTGGCAACTTGCTGCTTTAGTTATTTTATGCATAGGGTCTTGCATTTATGCCCAGGCTGGTCTTGAATCATGCTCCTACCAGTCTTCTCTTTCCAAGTAGTTGGGATTACAGGTGTGAGCCTTTGTGCCCGATCATGTTATTATATTATAGGATACATTTTTTTGCAGTACTGAGGATACTTTTTAAAAGTAGAATTTCTAGGCTTGACAGGTACTATTATTTTAAAAATTGAGAGATATTTTCATATTTCTTTGTAGTGGAGACCTTTTTGAAAGCAGTTAAGTCACATGTAAACAGAGCCATAGGTATGGTAATATTCTGTTTCTAGTAATATAGCACAAGAAAATAGTCTAAAATATGTAAAAATCACAGATGTTCTTTCATACTGTTATTTATAGAAGCAAAATGTTAGAAGCAACTTTTGATGAAGCCCAGTTTATTTTCATTGTTATTTTTTCAGTTCTGGGGATCAAACCCAGGGCCAGATGTATACTAGGCAAGTGCTTTATCATTGAACTACATCCCTAGCCCCTAGAAGCAACTTTTAAATGTCTAACAATGGACAAATGGCTAAACAGATTATACTATATCAATTTGGATCATTCTGAACTCTTAAAAACCCTGGTTATGTAAATCTGTCATTGCTGGTTGAAGAAGCAAAATCCCAAACCATGATTCACTATGATTATAACTACATATTAAATAGTAATGCATGTAACAGAAAGAGTGGAAAAATACAGAAGGAAAATAAGATAGATTTGTCAGGGTAGTAAAATGATAAGAGTGATTTTTTTCCCCCTAAACCAAACATTGTATTACTCAGGTTTTTCAAAAGAGTATTTGTAAAGATGTTTGTGCCTCAAGATGAAATGTTGACAGATATAGAAAAGACGAATTAAGATTTCAATCCAGACACCAGCATTTGCCTATAACAGAAGACAAGTATCTATCTAATTAGTTTTCAGCCCATCGTTTTCCATGTGTTCTTGTTCATTTTAGTGATTGTAGAGTAAAATAATGATTAGTATAAATCTCAAATTTCTGTGAATTAATCCAAGGAGATCAATCTCAGGAGGCATGTCAGATATTTTATTCCATCTAGCATACTGAAAAATATTGCCTACGAGAAAGAAGGTTGTTGTAACAATATCCTTTCCTTTTTCCAACTAGCTAATCCATTTTTATGTAATAATGTGGTCAGATCTCATTTATGGTGGTGGGACCTTTTATGTGTAGGTAAAGGTATCATGATAATAAAGGCCATTTCATTTTTATCAAAACAATATTAAATCTACTGGCTGCTCCCCAAATGACCTGGTTACTTTGAACATTTAAGTACAAACATTTAAAAATTTCAATCTAGGTTGAGTCTCAGAAACTCGTAAATGCCATTACAAGAAATTAATATTAGTCCTTTACTTTAGTAAAATAGATACAAATTAGGAAATTTTAGTTTGGTGTTAGACTTGTTAAAAATTTAACCTTGGAAAAGAAACTTATTATACATGGTATAGCAAGCACATTTTTTAGCCTTGAATCAGGAAAAACATTTCAGTAATCACAGGGAGAATTCATTATATTCTTGGGAATGTGTTTTCCCTCCTTTTCATTGACATTTTTTATGATGTCTTTGAGTCTGGACTTTCTATAATGTTGGTACCTCAATTAACTGAGATGAGAACTGATTTAGTAATGTTAAGTACTGTTGGCAGAGACTTGCTGGCAAGAGTGATTTTTCTCAGCCATTTCTATTTCCTGGGGTGACTGTTATAAAAGAAGCTTTTGCAGACCCAGGTTTGGACTGTTAATTCAAGATGGAGAGTGTCTCCTATAATTGCGTGTCTTGGCTTGGTACAGAGTGACTTTCTTTCAGAAATTTGGGGTGGAAGATCCAGCTGGATATGCTCAAAGTACTGTTGAGTGAATTCTAATTCCTTGGAAGGCCTTTTGAGCCCTTTTCCCTATAAAAGTTTATTTTAGTGAGTGAATAGATGTTAGACATTTGGCTCATTCTTGTATTCTAAAAGGGTACTTGGAAGGGTACTTTAGTCACCTTTTTTCTCCCATAGGAGAAACAAAATACAACTGGGTTGAGTATTAAACAGTAGTCTTTACATTATTATGACTCTGCTAGAAATAAGTGGGGTTTTTCTGTAGTTTGTTAGCATGTTAGGGCTTTTGGCCACTCGGTACTAGTAAATTCTTCAACAGAATTACAAAAGAATAGCTCTGCACAGATCAGGGGTGGAGGAAAAGACTTGGTACAACTTTTACATAGAGGCCTTTATAATATTCTATCTCTTAAAATTGTCATTTAGGAAAAGCTGAGTTTTCTTGCTAGCTGGATACACTACCGTATTTTTTGGTAACCTTTTCTCCTTGTTTTGGCAACTCACATCAGAAGATTTGGGGTTTTTTTCCTCCTTCTGATGTCTTTTTTCTTTTTTTCTGGCAGCACTGGAGTATGAACTCAGGGTTTTATGCTTGCTAGGCAGGTGTTCTTACTGCTTGAGCCCTCTGCCAGCCCTTTTTTTGTGATGGGTTTTTCAAGACAAGGTCCCGAACTACTTTCCTTGGGCTGGCTTCGAACCTTGATCCTCCTGACCTCTGCTTCCTGAGTAGCTAGGATTAACAGGTGTGAGTCACCAGTGCCCAGCTTGATTTCGTCTTTCAAGTTCTAAACTAAATGTTTTAAAAGTAAAATTTGCTTCTAGAATTAAAAATACTCTGTCTTTTGTAGCTCAATAGTGGCATACCAACCAGCTGGAGACAACAGTCACACCTTTGATGTTACAGCCATGTTCAAGTCTATTGGGATCTTCCTTGGGATCTTCAGTGGATCTTTTGCAATGGGTGCTGCTACTGGAGTGGTGACAGCTTTAATATCCTCGTGTGTGTGTGTGTGTGTGTATATATATATATATATATATATATATATATATATATATAAAATCTTGTTAACTGAATGAAATAGTTGAGCTATAATACATAGTTTCTCCTAGTTCCATGGTTGGAATTGTGTTATAATTATTAACGTTATAACCAAGTAATTAGTCTGAAAACATGAAGCAATAATATTTGCTAACATGTAAATTAAGGAATTTCACTGTTTTGCCTTGGGCTTGGTGCCCTAAAACTTTTTTTAGGGGGAACACCCAACAGGCTCTCGCTTTGTGACCTAGGCTGGCCTTGAATTTGCAATCCTCCTGCCTCAGCCTCCTGAGTGCTGGGGTTGAAGGCATGTACTACAACGTCTGACTGCCCTAAAACTTTCACTACAAGAGTCCATTTATACACAGTATCCCTTTGAAGGTGAATTTTAAGGATGTAGATTATATTCCAAAGAGCTTCTGGATATTCTTTGCTGTGGGTCAGTATGGCAGTCTTCTGTTCTTTATTTAATAGGACAAACAGAAAATGTATGACCATGATGCCATGTAAACAAAATATGGTTCCTTATCCAGGAGTTAATCTCCCTGCTGTTCCTAGTTTTTGAATGCCAGAGTCCTGGGCTGGGAGCCCAAAGGACCTGGGTTGTATAGTCTAGATACTGTGACTAGCTAGCTATGAAAATATTGGGCAAGTCATTCTTGTAATTCATTCAAAATACATTTCCTGATTGCCTGCTACATTCCAGGTGGTGTGCTCTGGGTATCAAAGATAAAGAAGACAAACGTGGCCCCTGCCTCCATGGAGCTTTCAGTGTTGTGGCAGACACAAGCGTGATAGAAGCTTTGAATTTCGCCACTTTGGATCTCAGTGTAGGAAAGGAGAGGATAGGGACAGTGGGAAAATTGAGTAGGACTAGATGATCTCTAAAGAGTTTCTAGCTGTAAATCTTTTAAGATACCTTCAACATAAAACAAATGCGTGAATCTTTCTCAAGAATCTCTTAGCTTGCTATATGCGCTTCATCTTTGTGCTGGAAGAGGCTTCTGTCATGGCTTTTTATCGATGAACTGAGGCATGAAGAGCTGCAAAAGGGTGCTGAGGGAGCCAGTACAGATGGTATCTCTACCCTATTAACAGGTTCTTTGAGGGTAGGAGGTATATCTTGTTCATCATTTCGTTGCAGAACATAGTTCCTGAAATGACTTGAGAGTCTAATCCCAGATTTGTCACAACTTGGCCCAGGCCTTCCCACTGTCAACCAACAAATACTTTTAAATTAGCATAAGTGAGTGAAATCCCTGTTTCTTCATCATGAAGTGAATGCTCTACGACACAGATGTGTTTAGAGGGTCAAATAAATGTGAAATCTCATGGAAATGATACTTTTTAAAATTAATTAACCTGTTGTTCCCAATCAGTTGATTGCTGACAAGGTAGCATACTGAAAACCTAGTGGGAATTTTTTTTTTTGGCAGGGCCTCACGCTTCCTAGGTAGGTGTTTTACCACTTGAGCCACTCCATCAGCCCTGGAAAACTTTTTATGGTAATGTCCACAGCAAGAAAGTACACTTTTTATACATGTGAATTGCTATAATTATGGAAGTGTCTTGCTTTGGGCCACAAATGAATAGCATTGGCATGTTATGTATCCAGTCTGTTTCTCTCGTCACTCTACCTATCTTTATTATGTGGTTTTTAGCAAGGTGTGTAATATCCATAGAGCAGTAGGAAGTGGCTAAGCTATGAGACTTCCTCACTGATAGGAATGCAGCTGACCCTTAAGTAACATATCCATTCTAAGAGTTTCTTTACCTTGGTGCTTCCTTATTCTGTGACTTTTGTGTTAGAGAGGCTCGAGAGCCTTTCTTTTTTGCCTTGCTTTGACTTTTATTTTCCTAGTCACACTTCTGTGTTCTGAGATTTTGTTATTAAGCTTAACAGTCTTACGTGACAAAGTTCACCAAATTGAGGGAGTTCCAGTTGCTGGAGACAGGCTTGTTCTTCCTGATGTCCTGGAGCACCTTCCTGTTGGCTGAAGCATGGGGTTTCACAGGTGGGACTTTCTTCTTTGGATTGTAAACTATACAAGGAGTTGACCTAGTGATTCTACCCATCAAATCCATTTCTGATATTTGAGTATACTTGTTATGGTTGGGATTTAGGCTGTCGTGTTAGAATATGAAAAAGATTTTCAGTAGAAGTGGTTCCTCAACAAAGTAAGTCAAGTAAATGAACATGTCAATACTAAGCATAGAATATACTTCTGTAAAACAAGATTATTAGTGTAAAATGTGGGAATCATCCTTTTATGTGAACTTGGAATTTGTTGTCTTTTTAGGTGTGGTTGCAGTATTGTTTTGTGGCATCACACAAGCACATTATACTTATAATAATTTGTCCACAGAGTCTCAGCATAGAACAAAACAGGTAAGAGAAACTTGATCATTTTTGGATAAAAAAATTTTCTTCCTCTCAATAAAACATTTTTTAACTTAAAAATAATCTTTGATCTGTTCAAGGTGATGTCTACTCTTTCTTTGACTTTAGAAATAGATGGAACTGGCAAGTTGAAGGGTGATGGCTTTTAGTGGGGAGATGGGTCAGGAGAATAAACAGTGGCTGTTATTATTGTGCTTCCAATAACCAGTCAGTTAGTTGCCTCTTCGCTCAGTGTTCTCCTTATTTTTACTTTCTTTGAAGAGGAATGCTTTGAAAGCTTTCTCTAACTCAACTAGAACTGCTGCTATGTGATAAAAAATATGGTTAACGTCTAATCTAACTGGATTTGCTGGGCCATACAGAGAAGACTGACTTCCTGTGGTCTTCACTCAGGCCCTGCAAAGCTGCTGTTTCTAGGAACCTCAGGGGATGGTCACTGGCTGGTACTGAATGATCACTTGTGTGATGTACTTGAAAGGAATTCATTAAGAAATAGGTGTATAATTTTCCAGTCTTAGGAAAAAATGGAACAAGTACCCAAAACAAAATGTACTATATGAAACAGAAACAGGTGCTTACTTGATGGTAATAGTGAGAACTAGGAGCTTTTACTTTTGTCAAATAATTAGCAATAGTGAGATGAGCCTGGAAAGGACCAATGCCAAAGCAGGGGCAGCAATACTTTTCTTTTTCTTTGTCCTGAAACCTCAAATTTAGTTTTGTCCCATGCTTTCCCTAGCCCTTCAAAAGAAATTAGGATCCCTTCCCACGCATTTATATTGAGGTTACAAATCCTTTTTGCAAATTAATTCAGTACCCTGAGTATAGAGAAGAAAACCAATTGGGTTTCAGCAATTTTCTAGGTACCAAGGTGGAGCATAAAAAAAAGGGTAAGAGCTTCCTGTCTTGTTGGTAATAGGAAGTGTGTACGTAGAACAAATATGACCAATAGGAATCCTGGATTGTGTTCTTGGTAATCTATGCCAATTAAGACATTAGAGGAGAGAGGGAAATGGTTTGAGGCTTGAGGAACTGGATGTTATTATAGAGGAAATGGTACATCTGCAAGGATGGGAAGGATTTTGAAAAGGTCTAAGGGAAACGGATGTAGGCAGGAATGAAAAGAAGGCAATAAAGTGTAGAGCATGGGTTAGCAAATTGTGGTCCTTAGGTCAAATTCAGCCCTTGCCAGTCTGTGAGCCAAGAATGAGTTTTACATTTTTAAATAATTGGTAAAATATTAGAAGAATATTTTGTGACTCATGAAAGTTACATTGAATTCAAATCTCAGTGTCCATTAATATGGTTTATTGACACATAGCCACATCCATTTAAAAATATATAGCTGTGGCTGCTTTTGTGCTATACTGGCAGAATTGAGTAGTTGTGACACAGACCTTGTGATCTGCAAAGCCTCTGTTTACTGTCTGGCACATTAAGGTATGGTGGCACATGCCTGTAATCCCAGCACTCAAGAGGTGGAAACAGGAGGATCATGAGTTCAAGGCCAGCCTGGGCTACATAGTGAGTTTGAGGCTAGCCTGGGGTGCATAATGAGACCCTGTCTCAGAAAAAAATTACGCTGTGGCCCTTCACAAGAAGTGGATTAAAACTGAGGCTCTGGAGTCATTCGCTATATTGGTTCAAATTCTCATTCCACTACTTTCTGGTTGTGGAACTAGGAGAAAGTTGCTTAACTTCTCTGTGCTTCAGATTTGCTGTTTGAAATAGAAATGATAATAGTACCTACCTCTTGGAGTTGTGAGATAATGCATATAAAGTCCTTAGTATAGTATCAGGCAAAGTAAAGACTAAAGTGTAACTATCATCACCAAACAAGTAAAAGGAATAATAGTGTATTAAATCATTTACAGAAAAATATACAGTTAATTTTTTCTTATGTTTTGGCAATAAGCCAACTCTGCTTTTTTTGGTGTGGTTTTGGGGGATCAGACCCAGGGCTTCCTGCATGGTAGGCAAGTTTTCTACCACTGTGCCACATCCCAAGCCCCCCAACTCTGCTTTAAAAAGATTAACTTGGCCAAAGCCATATAGCTGGCAAATGGGGAAGACAAGGTTCAAGTCTAAGGATTTTGACTCCTAAGTCCAGGTCCAGGTCCTTTACCTCCTTCTTGTTGTTTTGGGAAAGAGCAGGGATAGGCAACTCACATGGCTGGAGGGTTACCAGCTTATGGAGGGCCTTCATTAATTTAGCAAGTCTCGTACACCTGCTGTTACTAATGCTTGGAGCAGCAGTGACATGAACAGGGTGGGGCAGAGTGGGTAGTAAGACTGAGGGCATGACTGTGGTACAGAAGTCTTTAGGAGGCTTACTCCCTAAATGAGGAGTAAGGCCCAGGAAAAAGTTAAGTCGGCAGCAGGCCAGTGCTATGAGAGGGACCGTGCAGCACTCTTTGCCAGGCTAAGAAAAGTTAAACTGGGTCTTGTAGCTTGTAGAGAAGGAAGTATCTTGAAACTCTCATTTTTAGAGTCTCCTTAGATGAGGGTAGAAATGGGGGTGTTGCATTTACCATTTAGGGCCCTCTTGCAGCATTATGGATGATGAAAGGTAGATTAGGGCGGTGGAAGGGACACAAGGAACATTCCAAAAGAAAATTGCCCAGGTTGGAGATGGAAAATGACAATGGGAATTTGGAGAAGGGAAACTGACTGGGGGAAGCTGAGGGCACAATACTTCTAGTTTTTTCTGTGGGACTAGAAATGTCATCTATATGTTCACTCCCCTCAGAGTTACATTATTTTCAGATGTGTGTATGAACTTTACATAATTGAAATGTCTGTTTCATTGTCTTAGTAATACTCATGTTTTCAGATTGTGAAACTTAATTTTTACTGCACTAACCTTTTAAAATTTCGTTTCAGTTGTTTGAGCTTCTCAATTTCTTAGCAGAGAATTTCATCTTCTCCTACATGGGGCTGACACTGTTCACCTTCCAGAACCATGTCTTTAACCCAACATTTGTAGTAGGAGCATTTGTATCCTTTATTGTGTATTCTATTATGAAAACTATTTTTAATTGAGATTTTCTTGTGGTTTGGGGTATAGGTGATAAGAATATATTTAAATATGTAGAATTTTCCTTTAAGTAAAACAAATAAGGACTTTAACTCTTTTTTCCTATTTCATTCTAGTTATTCTTTGATATTTTTATTTCTGCTTATTGTACAAATAATGTTGACAGAATGAAATGATAGAACTCTCTTACCATTTTTTGCCAACCCCAAAGATAAAACTTTCTTCTTAGCTGGGTGTGATGGTACATACCTGTAATCCTCAGGAGGCTGAGGTAGCACGATCCCAAGTTTGAGGCCAACATAATGAGACCCTGTTTCAAAATAAAAAATTTTAAAGGCTGGGGATGTAACTCATCCAGAGAGTGCTTGCCTAGTGTGCACAAGACCCTGGGTTCTATCCCTAATACACAAATAAACTGTCCTGTGTTACTAAAGAGGAGGAGAGCATGAATATGGGGGAGTGAGTAGCCTGTGCCACAGGGCAGTGGATAAAAGATGAGGAAGGTTGAATGATGCCACTTTCTTCTCCCTCCCCTCCCCCCTCCCCTCCTCCCCTCCCCTCCTCCCTCCTTTCCCCCCCTCCCTCCTTTCCCCTCCCCCAGCACTGGAGTTTGAACTCAGGCCTTGGGCTTACTAGGCAGCTGCTCTACCACTTGAACCAAGCTCCCAGCCCTTTTCTCTTTCATATGAGTAAATTAAGTCTTTAAAACCCAGTTGAAAGGAAGAAGCTGAGAATGTGAAAGAGAACATTCTGTGTGTAAGCCTAATGGGAAGACAGGGAGAGATGGAATCCTAAGCATGTGGAGAGAAATCTGCCTTCACTGGGAGAAGGGACAGTTCCCCAGTTGGTACAGGAGAGGGTATGTAGAGAGGAAGGTAAACCTGTAAGATGGAGCTCCTAGCTGATGGCTTCTATATTTTATCTGTAAAGTAGGAGGTGAGCCGTCTGCTGAGAGTAAAATAGAGAGGCATGTGAGTTATCTATTGTGTAACAAATTTCCCTAAAACTTCGCAGTTGAAAACATCAAGCATTCTTTACTTCAAGAGTCCAAGAGTCAGGAATTCCGGAGTAGCTTAGCTGGGTAGTCCTGGCTCCAGGATTGCTCAGGAGTTGCAGTTACACTGTTGGCTGGCATTCACTGAAGATGTTGCTAGGGCTGGAGGATCCACTCCAAGTTTGCTCACATGACTATCAGCAGGAGGAGGTCCATCCTTCTCCACAGAACCTCTCCATAGAGCAGCTTACACTATGACTTTCCCCAGAGTGAGTGACCTGAGAAAGCACTAAGATAGAAGCCAAAGTACCTTTTACCCTAGTCTTAGCTAGGCACTGGTGGCTCACACCTGTAATCCTAGCTACTCATGAGGCAGAGATCAGGAGGATCACTGTTCGAAGCCAGCCAAGGCAAATAGTTTGTGAGACCCTATCTCAAAAAAACCCTTCACAGAAAAGGGCTGGTGGGGTTGCTCAAAGTGTAGGCCCTAAGTTCAAACCCCAGTACAGAATAAGTAAATAAATAAATAAAACCTAATCTTGAAAATATATCCCATCATCACTTCTGTAATATTCTGCTGGTCACACAGACCAACCATGGTACAATGTGAGTGGGAGCTACACAAGGGTGGAATACTAGGAGGCGGGGATCATTGGGGATTCTCTTGGAGATTGGCTTTCACAGGTGATAGGAGAAGGTAGAGAAAGTTTATGAAACAGTTGCAGAGAGTAGGACCATGAGTTGACCAAAGAAATACAATAGGATGGCTGAGCAGTAAGTTGGGATCCGTTTGAGTTTGAGGAACAGATATTTGCAAGAGAACCAGTCTACTTTGTTATATGACTATGTCCAGGAGGACTTAGCTGGATGTATGGGAAAAAACTCCACATTTGGAGTTTTATTGAGTGAGCATAATGAAACAGAGAAGGGCAAAACAAATGTAGGATATTGTAAAGAGTATTACTGACATCTGATAGGAAGTGAAGAAAGGAGAGGACAGACCATTAGAGGGAAAAGTAGAGTGATCTCTGGTCTGGCAGTCCCAGGGAGGTGGAAGAATGATCACAGTGGGATAGTTGAACATGAACTATGGAAGGAAAGATTGTGGTCAAAGTAATGAATGTTTGAATAAGTAATTTTCAAAAGAAGTATTTTCAAGGAACACTTCAGAATACAAATTCTGCCAAAGAGATTAGTAGAATTTTTTTTAAATTAAAACCATGCAAGAACTCTGTTGGAAAGTGAGATGTTACTGAAATACCATTATGCAGAGTGTCTGGGCAAAAAAGATAAGCCATATTAATAAGAGAAGAACCTTGGCTGAAAGATAATCATGAGATGCTGTTAATGTTGAGATATTTTTGAGTAGTCATATGGCTTGGCCTACTGTACTTTATCTGGAAGCAAGGTTAAATATTCCCCATAGGTTTCTGAATCTGTTAGGAAAATGTTCTATGAAAATTGGCTCTTAGCTGTTCTCTTTCTGGATATATTAGTTAGGGATATTTCATGTGAAAAGGCTCAAATTAACTCAGGTTTAAATGAGACAGAACTTTATTTCTTTCTCTTATAAAAGTCTGAGCTGGTATGGCTGCTCTGTTGCACACATAGTGATCAGGAACCCAAGCAACCTTGTTGCTGCTCTCCTGAGAGAATTGTCCTTCTTCTTGTGGTTCAAGGTGTTTCATCCCTGTGCCTGCCAATTGCCTTCAATAACGCCACCCAGAATATGTGCATTTCACTTTCACTTAATGTCCTGTGGCGCACATGCTTTATTCCTATTGTTATGTTTTCTTCTTTCTCTTTTCTTTAAGGGAATCCATTATTTTAAACAAAATTTTAATTTTAGAATATTTTTTGATTTATAGAAAATTGTGAAGTTATACAGAATGTTTTCATACACCCCACACCCAGTTTCCCCTATTACTAACATCTTACATTAGCATGATACATTTGTCACAAGGAATGAGCCAATACTGATACATTATTATTAAGTAAACTTCATACTTTATTCAGAATCTCATGGGTTTTCCCTAATGTCCTTTTTCTGTTCCAGTGTCCCACCCAGGATACCACATTACATTCAGTTGTCATGTCTCTTGGTTTTACTTGACTGTGATAGTTTCTCAGCTGCTCCTTGTTTTTGCTGACCATGATAGTTTTGATGGATACTGACCATGAATTTTGTGAAGTGTTCCCCAATTGGAATGTGTCTGATGTTTTCCCTATGATTAGGTTAGGGTTATGTGTTCTTTGCGAGAACACCACAGAAGTAAAGTGCCATTCCCTTCACATATCAAGAGTACATATTTATTAACATGTTAATAGTGTTGGTCTCTTAATCACTTGGCTGAAATAGTGTTTGTCAAGTTTCTCCATTTTTTTTTATTTTCTTAAATTTTTTTCTTTTATTCACATGTGCATACAATGTTTGGGTCATTTCTTCCCCCTTCCTCCACCCCCTCCCTTACCCCCCTGCCCCCTCCCTCTCCCCCCTACCCCCTCGCTACCAGGCAGAAATATTTTACCCTTATCTCTAATTTTGTTGAAGAGAGAGTATAAGCAATAATAGGAAGGACCAAGGGTTTTTGCTAGTTGAGATAAGGATAGCTATACAGGGAGTTTACTCGCATTGCTTTCTTGTACATGTGTGTTACATTCTAAATTAATTCTTCTTGAACTAACCTCTTGTCTATTTCCTGGTCCCCTTCTCCTATTGGCCTCTGTCACTTTAAAGTATCTGCATTAGTTTCTCTGCGTTGAGGGCAACAACTGCTATCTAGTTTTTTTGGGTGTCTTACCTATCCTCACCCCTCCCTTGTGTGCTCTTGCTTTATCATGTGCTCAAAGTCCAATTCCCTTGTTGTGTGTGCCCTTGATCTAATGTCCGCATATGAGGGAGAACATACGATTTTTGGTCTTTTGGGCCAGGCTAACCTCGCTCAGAATGATGTTCTCCAGTTCCATCCATTTACTTGTGAATAAGATTTCATTCTTCTTCATGGATGCATAAAATTCCATTGTGTATAAATACCACATTTTCTTAATCCATTCATCAGTGATGGGGCATCTTGCCTGTTTCCATAACTTGGCTATTGTGAATAGGCTGCAATAAACATGGGTGGCAGGGCTCTGGAGTAACCTGTCACATTCTTTTGGGTATATCCCCAAGAGTGGTATTGCTGGATCAAATGGTAGATCATGTTTAGATTTTTAAGAGCCTCCAAATTTTTTTCCAGAGTGGTTGTACTAGTTTCATTCCCACCAACAGTTAAAGGGTTCCTTTTTCCCCACATCCTCGCCAACACCTGTTGTTAGTGGTGTTGCTATGATGGCTATTCTAACAGGGTGAGGTGGAATCTTAGTGTGGTTTTAATTTGCATTTCCTTTATGGCTAGAGATGGTGAGCATTTTTTCATGTGTTTTTTGGCCATTTGAATTTCTTCTTTTGAGAAAGTTCTGTTTAGTTCACTTGCCCATTTCTTTATTGGTTCATTAATTTTGGGAGAATTTAGTTTTTTTAAGTTCCCTTATATATTCTGGTTATCAGTCCTTTGTCTGATGTGTAGCTGCAAATATTTTCTCCCACTGTGGGTGTCTCTTCAGTTTAGAGACCATTTCTTTTGTTGAGCAGAAGCTTTTTAGTTTTATGAAGTCCCATTTATCTATGCTATCTCTTAGTTGCTGTGCTGCTGGGTTCCATTGAGAAAGTCCTTGCCTATACCTATTAGTTCCAGAGTATTTCCTACTCTTTCCTGTACCAACTTTAGAGTTTGGGGTCTGATATTAAGATCCTTGATCCATTTTGAGTTAATGTTGGTATAGGGTGATATACATGGATCTAGTTTCAGTTTTTTGCAGACTGCTAACCAGTTTTCCCAGCAGTTTTTGTTGAAGAGGCTGCTATTTCTCCATCGTATATTTTTAGCGCCTTTGTCAAAGATAAGTTGGTTATAGTTGTGGGGCTTCATATCTGGGTCTTCTATTCTGTTTTACTGGTCTTCATGTCTGTTTTTGTGCCAGTACCATGCTGTTTTTATTGCTATTGCTTTGTAATATAGTTTGAAGTCGGGTATCGTGATACCTCCAGTGTTGTTCTTTTTACTGAGTATTGCCTTGGCTATTCGTGGCCTCTTGTGTTTCCAAATAAATTTAATGGTTGATTTTTCAACCTCTGATGAATGTCATTGGGATTTTGTTGGGAATTGCTAATATTATACATGTAGATTGCTTTTGGGAGTATAGACATTTTTACTATGTTGATTCTACCAATCCATGAGCATGGGAGATCTCTCCACTTTCTATAGTCTTCCTCAATCTCTTTCTTCAGAAGTTTATAGTTTTCCTTGTAGAGGTCATTCACATCCTTTGTTAAGTTTATACCTAGGTATTTGACTTTTTTGAGGCTATTATAAATGGAATTGTTTTCATACATTCTTTTTCAGTGTGCTCATCATTAGTGTATAGAAATGCTAATGATTTTTCTATGTTGATTTTATATCCTGCTACCTTGCTGTAGCTATTGATGGTGTCTAGGAGCTTTTGAGTAGAGTTTTTTGGGTCTTTAAGGTATAGGATCATATCGTCTGCAAATAGGGATGTTTTGATAGTTTCTTTACCTATTTGTATTCCTTTTATTCCTTCTTGCCTAATTGCTAAGTTTCTCCATTGTAAAGTTACTCTATTTTTTCTTCTTTTTGTATTCTACTTGGAAAGAAGTCACTTCATGCATCCCACATTTAGGGATTGAGGAGGGAAGGTTAGTTTAACCTCCTTAAGGGTGAAGTTTCTACAAAATTACTTGGAATTCCTGGGGTTTTTTTGGTGGGACTGAGGTTTGAACTCAGGGCTTTCTGCTTGCAAAGCAGGTACTCCAGTCCTTTTTGCTCTGGTTATTTTTGGAGATGAGGTATCTTGAACTGTTTGCCTGGGCTAGCCTTGAACCATGATCCTCCCAAGTAGCTAGAATTATAGGCCTTAGCCATCAGCACCCAGCTACTTGGAATTCTTTACATACGAGATTTATCTGTTCTCCTCCATTTATTGTTTTATTCAGTCATTTATATCAGTAAAGATCTATTGATACTTATTTTCTACTTTGGATTATCATATAACTTTAAAATTTTTGTTGCTCAAACTGTTCCAGCCTTGGCCCTTGGGACTTCTTTCAGTGTACTCCTGTGCCCCTTTGATATGCCCCATCATTGTGTGCTTTTGTTTTGTTTTGATATTTAGAACTTCCTTATTTTCTGGAATTATAAGATGTTTCATGCTTATTTTGTATGTTTTCTGCCTCAGCCCAAGAACTGGCCATTTCTCCAAGGAGATCTGGTTCCTTTTATTGAAAAATAATATTAGAAACCAAGATCAGGGAACTAAGTGTGCTCAGCACTGCAGGGTACCCTTGTTTCTAGGCCCTTTCAGCTAACAGAGCATGGAAAGACGTGTGTATACTAAGTTGTGTATGTATATACATCTGTAAATATTTCTATATGTAGCCATCTGTATCTCTATTAAGCTAACATGCATTCATTCTTACGTCTCCATTACCACATGGATCATTCTCACCTTCCATTGTTGATCTGTGAATTCCCATTGCAATAGTTAGAACTCTGGTTCCTACCATCTGCCATCTAATTAATCGTTCAGTTGCAGTATACAAGTATAGTCATGCACTGCTTAAGGGTAGGGATACATTTTGCAAACTGTACGCAGTTTTGTCATTAGGCAGTTTTATCATTGTGTGAACATCATGCAGTATATTTACACAAGCCTAGATGGTATAGATCAATTACTTGACGTGGACTGTTTTTTTTTTCTTAGTGTTCCATAAAAAGTTAATATTCAAAACAAAACACAGCAAAGGACATCTATAAATTGATGAGGCCAATTAATGCAGTTGTATCAGGAGATGTATGAGGCTGCTGCCAGTATAACACAGCATGCTGTGAGACAGTGAACTTTTTGTTTTGTAAGTAGAAGGAATACACTAAAATAATGAGAGTATAGCATAGTAAATACATAAACTAGTGATAGTCATTTATTATTATGGCAAGTATTATGTACTGTATGTTTATATAACCAGCAACACAACAGGTTTATTTATACCAGCATCACCACAAACATAAGGTTTTGATGGCTGTGATGTCACTAGGCAATAGGCATATTTCAGCTCCATTATAATTTTATGGGACCAGTCTGTCATTAAATAAAATGTTATGTGGTACATTATGTAGTATATGACAGTGTCAGAATCGTTGGCTGTCACTCCCATGGGCAATAACTTTATCAAAGGGCATGTAATTGAACAGGCAGTTCCCTTTGCCTTTAGTCCTACAGATTGCTTGCTCTCCCAAAGTTACTTAGGCCAGCACTATTTCCACCACATTATTTTGTTTTTAATATTAGGTTTCCCTTTATATTCCTTCAGGAAATGGGGGTGGGTGGGGACTATATTGTGACCCTGAAGTAAAATTTGTAATTACAAAGCAGGAGTTTCTACAGACATCAAATGGAGAAGAACATACCAAAATTGGTTTCTAGTTAAAGCCTATCTGAATTCATGTGAAGCCTGTTCTTTGCAACATACTGGAAGTACAGATTCAGTGGGACACAGCAGGGCTGGCAGGAATTCCAGTGGTATAATGTGGCTCAGCTTCCCTTTTCTGCACTCTAAGGAAGGAATGGGGAAGTTTCATCAATATTACTTTTCTTCCTATCAACACCGATAATGAAAATGAATTAGCCTGTTTTATTAATAATCCTGAAAGTATAGTGAAGAAGCTCTGCTGTTAAACATCTTCATCTAATGAATTTCCTGTGTTAGATCTACACCGTCCAATTTGGCGGCAACTAGCCATGCTAATTTAAATTAATTCCAAGTTAACATTTCAGTTCTTCGGTCACAGTAGCCCCATTTCAGGTGCTCACTGTATGAAACAATGCAGATACAGAAGTTTCCATTATTGCAGAAAGTTCTACTGCATGGCACTGTTAGATGATAGACTCAAGAGTGTATGTGGAAAACCAAGCTCCCTAAAATAGTCTTTCACCATCTCAGATGGCTAGTCTGAATAATATTAACAGTAATAAGAAATGATCCTTAATCTATTACTAATTTTAGATCGCTATTTTCTTGGGAAGAGCTGCCAATATTTACCCTTTGTCTCTCCTACTTAATTTGGGTAGAAGAAGTAAAATTGGATCAAATTTTCAACATATGATGATGTTTGCTGGTAAGTTATAACTTTCCTATTTTGTTCACCTTAAGAAATCATTCACAACACATATGCCAGCTTGTATGATTTGAAACTAAAACGTAATGCTAGTAATATAGGACTCCTTGAAACATTGTAATTATATCCTCAAGTAGAAAATAATTCTTATGAGGTCCCATTTCCTTCTATGGGATTTTTTTTTCATATTCTCGTTTCAAATCCTCAGCTCAGAAATAGGTCAAACAAAGTAAGAAAGTTAGAGATGAATGCATTTTCACACAAAAATCTGTAAGTAAATGTTTGTAGCAATTCAGTTCCTAAGTGCCAGAAAACCTGGAAACAACCAACTTGTTTGCCTTTTGGGGACAGGCAAATAGAGAAAACAAATCCATGCTTGTAGAATACTACACAGCACTAAAAAGAAAAAAACCTCTTTTTATTGGCGCATATTAAATTGTACATAGTAAGGGGTTTCATCATGATATTTCCATACATACATATAATGTACTTTGATCATATGTACCCCCTCTATTAGTTATTCTTATCCCCCTTTTCCCTTCCCTTTCCACCTCCCTGGTAGTCCTTTTACTTCATAACCTTGGTTTTTGTTATGTGTTCTCCTAGCTTCCACAAATGAGAGAAAATAAGAAATGATCCTTAATCTATTACTAATTTTAGATCGCTATTTGTCCTTTTGGAATTTACTTATTTCACCTAACATGATGATCCCCAGTTCCATCCATTTACCGGCAAATGGCATGATTTCATTCTTTGACTGGATAAAACTGTCATGTTTTATTTTTCCATTCACCTGTTGATGGGCATGTAGGCTGATTCCATAATTTGGCTATTGTGAATAGTGCCATGAGAAACATGATATAAAGATATCTCTGTAGTTAAAAAGAACAAACTATAGATTCACACAAAAAACACATACCATTCTCAGAGGTGTTAGCTGAGTAAAAGAAGCCAGTCTCAAAGGTTACATACTGTATGAGTCCATTCATATGACATTCTCAAAAAGACAGAATCAAACCAGGTGTGGTGGTAGTTCAAGCCTTTAATCCCTGCTTCTTGGGAGATAGAAGCAAGAGGATCAGGGGTTTGAGGCAATTGTGAGTTTGAGCCAGCCCAGGCAAAGCTAGTAAGACCCTGTCTCAAAAGCAAGAATGGAAGGGCTGGGGGCATATCTCAAGTGGTAGAGTGCTTGACCAGCAAGCATGAGGCAAGGCCCTGGGTTCCATCCCCAATACCACAAAAAAAGGACTCATCAATGCAGAATAGATGACTGGTTTGGTGGGGGTGACAAAGAGTCCAAAGAGGTTGGACTAAAAGAATAGCACAAAGCAATTTGGGGGAGAGGGTACTATCTGTCTTGATTATGGTAGTTGTTACACCCTTTTATGCATTGTTAAAACTCATGGAAATGTGGATTAAAACATGAATTCTACTGTATGTAAGTAAAAAATATATTTTAAAGAATTATTAAAAGATCAATACATGTCTGCATCGTATATTAATAGAATACTAATTCTATTACTATTTGTATATATTTAGACATGTTAATATTGATTTCATATTTGGTCATCTCTCTTAAGTTTTTAGGATGTGCTTTATATCTGAATGTATGAAGCTTGTGTTGGTGATGAATTATTGACGAAATACCCATTCCATTCCCTGTAGGCCTTCGTGGTGCAATGGCATTTGCTTTGGCCATTCGAGATACTGCCACTTACGCACGGCAGATGATGTTCAGCACCACACTTCTGATTGTGTTTTTTACTGTGTGGGTATTTGGTGGTGGCACAACTGCCATGCTATCGTGCTTGCATATAAGGTGAGTAGGAACTTGGAACCTCATTTTAATATTAAATTTTAATTCATTTTATTTTTCTTTTAGCAACAAGGAGATTTTGTTTTGGCAGATGTAATTTTTCATGTATTCCTTTAAAAATATATATTATAGTACAGAACAAAATGAAACTATGCAAAAAAAAATGAAAACCAGTGCTAACACTTTGAAGGTAAAAGATTTTTCCAGAACTTTTGCTATACATTATATGTATTTTTAACAAAAAGAGACAACAGTAAAGGTACTCTTGTAGATCAGTTTTTAAATGTAATATAGCAAGGACATCAACATTAGTGAATGTATTTATATCATTATTTGAATGGCTGCATTTAAATCTGGTTGATTTAACCAAATCCTTATTGGAGTTTTGTATATTTCCCAGGATTTTGCTATTACTATTAACAGTGTGAGCATTTTTAAATGCATACAACACTGTGCACTTGTTTATTTCCTTAGGATGCATTCCAAGAAATAGAATTGCTTATTCAAAAGAATATTTAAGGCTTTTTTGTCATCAGGTTGGATCCATCTGCAGTGTGTGAGACAGTTCAGTTTACCCCAACTCTGATCAATATTAGATCTTATTATTCTTTCTCATCTTAATGATCAGCAGTGTTCTTAACCTAACAGTCCAAGGCCAAGAGCGTGAGGTCTTAGTGTTCAATGTGTACTATTTAATGTATTCAATTTGAAAGCTCCCTTGTATCCCAAGAGTTCTCCATTTGTTTCCATGGATACAGCAGCCTAGGTTGCTGAAGCCTTCGTAGATTGTAGTTCTGTGTTTGGCTGAAACTGCATAGATGCTAAGAGCTACCAAGCTTCTAGGATATGTAGGATTCATTAGGGAAACAGTATTTCACATTTTAGAGAATCTGTCCTCCATTTTTTATTCTATTATGCCTTTCTTTTAATATTATAAAGACCAGCAAGCCTTAAATCATGCTTTGAATGTTGTTGCTACTGCCTTAATCTCTTTACTATTCAAATATCTCTCATAATTTCTGTGCTATTACTGTATATAGTAGACAACACAATGCAATAATGTCCTTATAACCCTAATAATGTTCTTATAACTCTAATTATTACTTGAAGGAGGACCTAGCATTTATCAAGCACATACTATGTTCTAGGCGTTGTGTTAAGTGTATTTAACATGTTTATCTAATCAGAAAAATTGTTTTACAAGTGAGGAAATACAGGCTCGGAAAGGTTCTTAGTTGTTTAAGTTTATACAAATAATGACATGGTGGATAGAAGAGGCTCTGTTCTTAGTTTCTTCTACACCATGGTACATCTTGAAATGAGGGTAGTAAATTTTGAAAGGACATTTGGCAACGTTTAGAGACATTTTTGATTATCTCAATTGGGAGAGAGGGCTACTACTACTGGTGTCTCATAGGCAGAGGCGAGGGATGCCGCTAAACATCCTAACATCCTTTGCAAACCTGCCAACAAAGAATTATGTGGACCAAAATGCCAAAGTGCAAAAGTTAAGAAACCCTACTCTAAAGAAGGATAATGGTAGTTAAAAAAAAGAAAGGTCCCTAGTCTCATAATGTCTATATTTTAGGGGGAAGGGGCAGACTATAAAACTAGTAAAAAAAAAAATAGGCATGACAATTTTAGATGATATTAAGTATCCTGATGGCGATCTAACAAGGTACTATGATAGTTACTGGGATGGGCGGTATATGTTAATAGGTCAAAGAAAATCTCTGAGAGGTTACAAAATCACATTTATAAAACCAGGATGGGTAGCAGATGTGGCATGTGGCCTGCAGTTTGTGGACCCCTGCTGTAGGGTCTTGTAGGATATAGTGAAGTGTTTGGATTTGAAAATGTAATTGGAAATGTCCGGAATATTAAAGTAAGGACATGATATAATCTAATTTATAGTCTAAAAACATCGCTTTAACTGTCTTGGGAACAGTGACCCTCCAGTGAGTCAACCAGCCATTCCTGCGACCTTTCACATAATTTGTGACAGTCACATTTGGTTCTGTATCATCATTTACCACACATGCTTTGCATTTCTCAATCTCTTAGCCTTTGCTCATAGTGTTCCCTCTGCCTAGAATTGTCTTTTATCCCCAGTAAGTGACACAGCTAAGTGCCTCTGTTCTTTTTTCTGAGAACCACTCTCTGATCTCTCCATTATAGTACTTATATCATTCAACCTTGTAATATGCAGTATTGTTAAAAGAGCGACCACTTAACCTTAATGATGTGTCAGACACTCTTAAAGGTTTTTAAATACATTTAATACATTTTTTCATTGAATTCTTGCAATAACTCTGTATGATAGATACTAGCCCCATTTGCTAGGTGATAGAAGTACAGTCCATGTGGCTGCATGACCTGACTGAAGTTCACATAGTTAGGCAGCAGCCAAGGGCAGATTCGAACCCAGTGTCCTTGACAGCAAACCCTGGGATATTCTCTGCTAGTTGTGTCTGTTTCCCCCACTAGTTTGTAAGCTGCTTGAGGGCAAGGGCCATTTTAAACTCATGTCTATGTCCTGTGCCTAGCTCAGTGCCTGACAAATAAAAAGTGCTCTGTAAGTCTATTTTGGCTTCAGGTAATGTATCAACTGAGTGTTAGACATGTATTATCTTCAAGCCCACTAGATGTCACTTGAGATGCATTAATGTGGTTAGAGTCTAATAGGCCTGAGAAAATGTAAACAGTGTCTGGCCATTTTTAACAAAGTAAAAATGAGCCTTTCTTTGAATCATGAATCTGGTCATGACCATTCATTTTCAAATACTTGACCATGACTCCCTTGTCTGACAGATGTGATCTTGTATCATTTTCCTCCCTTCAGTGTTACTTGTCTTTGGGGATGCTGCTGTTACAGCTTCTCATACTGCTGTGTTGTCTGCTGTAGGTAACCAAACCGATAAACATTTGAGCACCTATTATGTGTCAGGTATTGTGCTAGACTCTGGGGATCTAGAAGTGAATTGAGACATGGCCTCAAAGACTGTGAGTTCCTTGAGTTGCCTTTATCCTCAAGGAACTCACAGTCTTTGGGGAAGATGGACAGAAATTCACTATTCTCTACTAAGCTAAGTATTATAATAAAGGACTCTTAAAAAGTGTTGCAGAAGCACAGGGAAAAAACAATTCTGCTTGGAGGGGTTATAGAGGAACATAACAAATGAATAGCAAAGAGAGGGAAATCATGTTTTAGCTTGAAGAAAGGCGTGGAGACCTGGAGAGGGCAAGGGTTTGTCCTCCTCAAGGGAGAGGAGTAGGCAGCTCTAGCTAGTAGAGAGTACACAGAAGAGAATGATGGGCAATGAGGTTGGAGTGAGCGGTGGCTGCTAGTGTGTAGAGTCTTCAGTGTCATGCAAAGGACTTTAGACTTGACCCTCTGTGTTACAAGCTGCACTTGGAGACTTTTGTGAAGGCAGTGACTCAATGAGTGCTGTGTGTTAGATAGCTAACTTTAGGAGAGAGCCTAGTAGCTGGAAACCTTACTCCACATATCCCATGAGTTAGAATGAGGGTCTGCACTGAAATAGCAGGGATAACAAGGAGAGGAGACCTGAGAGGCAGTAGGCAGTATAGAAAGAGAAAGAAAAGAGTTAGTAAGTGCTCGTGTTCAAGGGCTAGAGAAGACACACAGAGAACTTCTTAATGAACTGTTCCCTAGGATACCCAAAGCAGGAAGCTAATGCAGATGAAAGAGAATTGTGAAGAACCAAGCTAATGCCCATCCACTAGCCTGTTAAAAAAAAAAAAAGCTCTATAATTGGACCCTCTTTTCCATCACTCTAACAGAAGGTTGCCGTGAGAGCTATAAGGTCCAAAAACATGCATCTCACTCTTGGAATTGTACTGTGCCTGCTTTGTTTTTGGAACTTTCTAGTAGTTCTTATTCAGCAACCGGGGCAGTGTTGCTCTCTCTGACTCTGCTTAGAGTGGACTTATATTTAGAGAAGAAATGCTATTTTACTGAAACTGGTAAGTGGAATTACAGAAATAGAATTGTTTACCCTTCTTGCCTTAGAATCCCAAGCTGTTGCTAAGGAAAGTGGCAGAAGCCAAAAATGTACATCAACACCCATAAAGAGGCATGGAAACATTAACCATTCCATATCTTCTATGTTGAAAGAAGTAGTTGCCTGACTTAGTGTGTGTATGAGTGTGTGTGTGTGTGTGTGTATATCATATATAAATGATACATATATATATATGTATGTATGTATGATTAGACCTTTTTTGGCATCAAAAACTCATTTGCTCTTTATGTTTTTCCTTTAGGGTTGGTGTTGATTCAGACCAAGAACATTTGGTAAATATGCATCTGTGTTGTCTGTTGAATGTGCAGTCACTTGGAAAGTAAACCATCTCTCATAGACTTCATGCCACTACTTAGATCTTGTCCTGTCAGCTTTTAACTGACATTATGCCTGGCTTTTCTTGCTGCTCCATAGAAACAAAACCACATTTTAGACAGCATGTGCTTATCAAGGGTGACAGCCTTCCTATCTGGGCCGTCCTGTGTTTTTGCCACAGAGGAGAGTAGTCTGTTAAGTGCTCCTGGGTTTTGAAGTGACTATTCTGGCACAGGAAGCCTTTTTCCACTTTGGTTTGCGCATGAAGACTTGTCTCTGATGTCAGCCCCACTCCAGCTGCTCTTCCTGTGTAACTTTCAAATTGGATGACCAGCAGCTGCCCTTGAGAATTGCCTAGAAACTTTTGAATCTTGAATCAGTCTTCCCTGCCTATTCCGGGGAATGCAGTTTCTTACCCTGTGCCTCAGCCTTGGCCACATTTCTTTGCTTCCTTCCTTCCGTGTGTCAGTTTCTCAACTGTTACTATGATCTCCAGCCTTTTGGACTAAGCACAGTGTAACTGGCTGCCCTCTCTAGACTGACTGACCTTTTCTGATATTTTCCATCTGCTTTTTAATGGTTTCTGAGCGCCACTGAATACATGCTCTCTAACAGACATTAGATAAGAAATCACAGAAATTAGGTTTTTGAAGATGGGAAGTATCTTTTTAAAAGCACAATTCTTGTTCTTGTCTGGAACAAACTCTTCTATATTGTTCTTCAGGGTGTGGTTTAAAAAGCCAACATTTATCAGATTCATTTCCTAAATGTGTTAGCTGATGAATAATGTCTGTGTGTGTGTGTGTGTGTGTGTGTGTGTGTGTGTGTGTGTATGTGTGTATGAGAGAAAGAGAGAAAGAGAGAGAATGAACTTAAAGTAGAATTCTCTGGGTTGGAAATACTTGAACAAACCAGGCTGGATAAATTCCCATTGTGCCAAGCTTCTGGGGTGTTGTTCAAGGGGTAATGATTCCTCAGTGTCTCCACTCAATTGTCAACACAATAATAAAGTTATCACACAGCTGAGAAGACAAATGCTTGATCACAGTTTGCATAGTCTTCAACAGCTGTGTCACCTCTGTCACCACAGAGAAGAAATAAAGTGACAGGCAGAGAGACAGGTAGGTGACTACCAGTTGTGACATTCAGAAAAAAATGACATTTTTCCCTTGCCTTCAAAATCCTATGGATGTCTTTGTTCTATTGTTTACTCAATAATTTCAAGTGTCTACCAGGAAGCATAGAGGAACATTATAGTAAATATGAAGCATGTGTGAGTTGGATGTGCAGGAGTTCATGTGGTGAGAGGATGGTGGGATATATAGATGAATTTTTCTTCAAGAAATGAAGGTAAAACTTTAAAAATAGATAAAAATAAAATACCACAGGCTGGAGGTATGGCTCAGTGGCAGGGCATGTGCTTAACAAGCACAAGGCCCTGGCTTTCATTCCAAGCACTAATAAATAAGTAAAAATAAGAAGTGGAGGATAATCAAGTCTACATTTAATAATATGAACGGAAATACAGATGGTGTTCTTTGGCACTTATAAGCCCATATCATACCCTAAAATATTTTGTGTGTGTGTGTGTGTGTGTTGGTCATGTTGAGGAAAAGGACAAGTGATTTTGAGGATTAAAGAGGACAGGAAATAGTCAAAATCCAGAATCTAAACTGTGTACTGTTGGAAAATCATGACACCATAGAACATTAGTGCTGGAAAGTGCCTTAGGGATTCTTTAGTGCTCATGTTTTATATATGAAGAAATTCAGGCCCAGAAAGGGAAGGGGGTTTACTCAAACTCGTTCATGGCAGTGAGCTGGGACTGGAACTAAACAGAGTAATTTCCTGACTACTGCCCACACCATATTAACAAGTAAGGACATAGTTTATATTTTTTGGAGGCCATTCTAGAAGATGCTTGCCTGTTGTATTAGTTTTCCCTCCTAACCAGTCTGTCTTACCATGGAATTTTCCTATTTGTTTTCATTTTGCTAGTGTGCTAAGAACCTATTAACAACTTCAAAAATTCCTTTTGGTGAACATAAACACTTTTTTTTTAACTTTTGAAACCCACAACAGCTCCCAAAGGTAGGGATATTGATGTGATGCTTTCTACTTAACATGCTATTGTAATTGGGGGTGTAAGTCTTTCAGATTTAGGAGGTGAACTATCCCATGTTGACTTTTAAATGACAATAGAGTCATAAGCTAGAAAGCTGCTGAACAATTGAGACATTCAGAGAAACATTTCAATTTCTTACTCCAAAGCTGCACTACACAAGCCATTAAATTTCTAATATTAACTATTTTGGAGAGCATCTTTTACAAAGGCTCGGTTTCTGATTCTACAAAGGAATGGTTCTAAATCAATCTGTGTCTTTGGGCATGTATTAATTTATGTATCATCTGTCTGCAGGGTGTTCCTGAAAATGAAAGGAGAACTACCAAAGCAGAGAGTGCTTGGCTTTTCCGGATATGGTACAACTTTGATCATAAGTATCCTTAATTGCGAAAAAAATAATACAAACACGATTAATGGAGCAACTGGAGTGTGTGTGTGTGTGTGTGTGTGTGTGTGTGTGTGTGTGTGTGTTGCTGGGGATGAATTCAGGGCCTCGTGAATGTTAAGAACATGCAACAATTGTTTTGACCATTGCCTTTCTGAAGCAGAATGTAACATCTATCTGCAGTCTTCCCTTCTCTATCAGTGTAGTGGAGGAGGAAATTCACACAAATGGATTCCAATGCAAACCAAAAAAACCAGTTAGTGATTGGTTGCTGCAGAAGCTGGCTGTATGAAGGGGACCAAGAACTCAACTGAAGTGCTTTTTTCTTTTTGATCTTTTTGTTTATTGAGCAAACTTTAGTATTTGTTGTTCTTGAGCTAATTTAGTGAATCCTATAAAAGACATTTGTTGGTTCTTGTTGGTGTACTTGTTAGGGTGGAACAAAATAGGCTGTCTTAGGGAAATGGAAACAGATGAGAATGAAAGAAAATTGCAATACTGTTCAATACTGAAGTATTTAGAAACACGCCCTTTCTTCCCTGGTTTTGCCAAAGGCCAGGAGACTCTCTTCATTCAGAATTCTACAAGTAGGTAATATTTTTATTGGTGACCAATAAAAATTGGTCCTTGTGTAAGACTTCTTCATAGCTATACTTTGAGTAGTGTTGATATTCTATAACCTGTTTAAATCATACCTTTTTAAAAATATTTTATCACTATTAAAATTAATTTCTTATTGAAAATTAGAACTAGATAAAGGATCCTTGGAGTTCTTTCAGGTCAAATTTTGTCAATTAAAATTTGGTTTAGGTTCCATTTAAGCAAATTGGGGTCAGCCACATACAAATTATTTTCCTGGTTTTCAACTTTGTGATTAAAACCTTGTGTGATTCAGAAAAATGCGCTTGACAGAATTCGAATCTACTACTTGCTAAATTCTGTTCACAGGATTTTTACGTTCACTTTTTGCAAGTAATTCAAAATTAAATTACTGTATGGAAACAAGAATGCAAGCATATCTTTGCTATTACGACTCCCATTAGCGAGTCTGGGTCTTTAAAATGGTTTAAAGATTAGGTCATTCCTTTGGCTCCATTATCAGCATTTTGGATATGTGCCATTCCTGTATCTCTCAGGCCTTTCTCATCCCTCTGATTTGACAGTGTTTTTAGTACTTTCTGTATAAGATGTTTTATACATTTTATGCATAATATACAAAACAACTAAATGATCCTAATGTAGAGAGTCGAATAATAGTTTATTTTTCGATATATTCTCACAGAAGTAAACACCAAGACTTGTGCCACTCACTGAAAATGTGGTCATTATAATACCCAGTGTCCTGGTGGAATCATCATTGTAACTTCATTTCCTTTGTGTAGCCAGACTGTTGTAATTGAGATATAATTTGAATACAATGAAGTATATGCATTTTTACCTATGTCTATACCTGCGTGCCTTCCATCCATGTAAAGATGCATAAAACCATTTCCAAAAGGGGTAATTACAATCTTGACTTCCATCAGCATGAATTAGTTTTACCTGGTTTTGATCCTGTATAAATGAATCATATATTATGTATTCTCTTTTTTTCTTTTTTCTCTTTTTGACAGTGCTGAGGTTTGAACTTGAGCCTCACGCTTGCTAGGCAGGCATTCTACCACTTGAGCCACTCCACCAGTCATGTATATTATGTATTTTTTATATCCCACTTCCTTCACTGAACATCCTTTGTAATTTATCCACATTGTAGAATGTAGCAGTCATTTGATGTTTTTTTCAGGTACTACGGATAGAACCAGGGCCTTGAGTCTGCTAGGCAAGTGCTATAATACTGAGCCACATCCCCAGCTCTAAAGCTGTTTTTTGTTTGCTTGTGACAGGATCTTGCTATGTAGCTTAGGCTGGCCTTGAACTCTTTATATAGTCCAGCCTGACCTCGAACTTGCAATCCTCTTGCCTCCACCGTCTGATTCTTTTTTTTTTCTTGGAATTTTTTAGATAAGACTCACTATGTAGCCCAGGCTGACCTGGAACTCAGTGTAATCCAGGCAGACTGGCCTCAAACTTCTGATCCTGTTGCTTCAGCCTCCTTAGTGCTGGGATTACAGGCATGCATCACTACACACAATTTAGTAATTCACTTTTATTGCTGTGAATTTGTTGTCCCATGGTATTAATATACTGTAGGGTTTTAGGTTTTGTTTTTAGCCATTCTACTGTTAATAAACATTTGGAATTTTTGGCTATTACAAACACAGCTAAAGGTTCGTGTAAGTAGGTTAAAGAAGTTCTAGTTGGCCCATATCTCTACCCAAACTTGCTCTTAATTTGCTAATATTTTGTGTCATTTTCTTGTGGCTTTTTAAATTGTGATGTCCTTGATAGGGTTCTATAACAAAATTATGCTTACTTTGTAAAATGAGTTGGGAAGTATTCCCTCTCTGTTCTTGGAAGGAGTTAATGTAACATTGGCATTTCTTCTTTAAATGCTTGGAAGATTTTAGCAGTGAAGGCTTTTGGGCCTCATGCCTTTTGTATGAAGCTTTTTATTTCTTTAATAAGTATAGGACTATTTGACTTTTCTCTTTTATTCTTTTGTCAAATTATTTGGTAAGGTTTTTTTTTAAGGAATTTGTTCTTGTAGAATCAAACACCAAGACTTCTTAGCCTCAGTACTACCCTATTCAGTGCTACTAGACAAAGACATGGCCATTTCTATACTCAATATACTAATAGAATTCATCATTGCAGTTTTCAGTGGCTTTGTATGGCCAGAGATTTTAGTAAGTGTGTTTATATAGAGTGCTTTAATCTACTTAGAGTTTATTAATATGGAAATTTATAAAATTTTATCTTTCTCACTTTGAATTGAGTACAATCTTAGGTGCTCTCTGTTTCTGTCTCTGTCTGCCTGTCTGTCTTACTCCCTCCTTCCTTCAACTCCTTCCTTCCCTTCTTCCACTCTCTGCAGTATTGGGGGTAGAAACCTGGGCCTTGAGTATGCTAGGCAGGGCCTCTGCCACTGAGCTACACCTGCAACCCAGGTTCTCATTTTAGAGTATAAAGGATATAGTATGTGTCTTTGTCCTTTCTCCTTCCTTTTTCTTGTAAGTCTCTCTTTTTTCTTCATATTATTATGTATGACCACATCTATTTTTATTTTTATTTTATGAGGATCTATGATACAGGAGCCCATGATATGTAGGGTTTTTTTTTTTAATGTTCAACTTTCCTTTCCCTCTTACAGCTTTATAGGAAGGGAATCAACGGTATCATGCAGATTTAACTTAGAGCATTCAGGACAGCAGAATCCATGTCAAGTGATTAAAACCATTTTTATTAGTATGTTCTACTACTGCAATATTTAACCTCCTATCTGACCATTATCATTTTCCCTTTCTCCCTTATTATCTTCCTTGTGAAATTTAAAGTGATCTTGTGTCCTTTTGCTTTTAGTAAAATCAAAAGCAAAATGATGTAGTGAAATGGGCACACGATTTGAAATCAAACCAACCTAGTTAGCAGATATGCCCCCATTTTAAGTTGTGTGACTTTAGTTGAGTCATTGACCTCTCTGAGCTTCACTGTCCCTGTCTGTGAAAGATGATAATGAGGCAATAAGGTCTCCCTTTGCTCTGTCACTGCCATCGCATGATGAGGAGATGTCACATGTGTAAATACCCTTTGCTAGCCTGTGAAACGGTGGGTATACTATGACACTGACTATCATCAAATGAATTGTTCTTTTAAATATGCGAAGAAAGGAGCACATTCCTTCCTTAACCATGTGTGTGCAGCTACCTGAAACCTCTGCTGACTCACAGTGGTCCTCCTCTGACCACCACACTCCCAGCCTGCTGCGGGCCCATTGCCAGGTGCCTCACCAGCCCCCAGGCCTATGAGGTAAGTGGCTTTTATCCACAAACTGAGTTCTTCAGCAAGTTCAATTTAGCCTCTATATGGGTGGTTTCTGTTTGTTTTATTTTTTGGACTTTGGCCTTGACGTATAAAATCCCTGAGAGAGAATTAAGCATTTTTGTTCAGTCAGAATCACTGGACTCGTATAAATATAACTCACAGCCTTTAAAAACACCACTTGCTGATAGTTATAGTTGAGCACCTCATCTTACTGCATGCAGGTATTTTAGTAAGACATTGGCATTTCCATCCTGGTTTTCATTTATTTGCTGGATGTGGCCAGTGTTCAGCACTAAATGTGTATGTTTCCATCTCCACATTAAGGTCATCACAGTTATGTTGAAAGGATACTGAAACTTTTTTTTTTTGGTAGTTCTGGTGTTTGAACCAGGGCCTTGTGCTTGCTAGGCAAGCACTCTATCAGTTAACCACATTGCCAGCCCTCTGTTGCTTTTAATTTTTTAGATAGGGTCTCAGTTTTCCCAGCTGGCCTTGACCCACAATCCTCCTACCTATGCCTCCCTTTTACCTGAGATTGACAGGTTCCAATATGCACTGCCACACCTGGCTTGGTTTTTTGCTTTGCATTTTTATGAGCATATATTAGTTGTACAGGGATCTCATTGTGACATTTCCAGATTACTGTGCTACCTTGGTTAGGTTCATCCCCACCATTTTTCTTCCTCGTCCCCCTCACCCCTACTTAAATGATTTCAACAGGTTTCAATGTTTCGTCTTATACATCCTCCATTCCCCCTCTCTCCTACTCCACTAGTCCCCTCCCTAACCTGACTTGTTTACATTCCTATCCTTCATTATTTAAGTGTATAGTCATTATTCAAAGAGGTTTTACCAAGGCATTTCACAGTGAATATATTGTACTTTAATCAGTCCCACGCCCTCTATTTTCTCTTCCTTCCCTTTCCCCCATACCCATTATCAGTAGCTTTCAGTGCATTTCTTAGGTCTCCCTACACAGATGCAAGGTATTTCAATATTATCCACTCTCTGTCATTCTCTTTTCCTCTCCTTCCTCCTCCTAGCCTCTCAAATAGTCCCACTATTGGAAGCATGGTCATATGTATTTTTTTATTATATGATCATGTTTGTATTTATTTATAGGTTTATCATTTGGACCTGTCTTCCACATATGAGAAAAAACATGTAACCTTGTCTTTCTGAACCTGTCTTACTTTGCTTAACATGATTTCCAGTTCCATCCATTTACCTGCAAATGACATAATTTCATTCTTCTTATGGCTGAATAATATTCCACTGTGTGTGTGTGTGCGTGTGTGTGCTGTGTGTGTGTGTATCTCACATTTTCTTAATCTATTCATCAGTTGTAGGACATCTGAACTATATGAATAGTTTGCTGCAGTAGTATGGGTGTGCAAGTGTCTCTATTGAATTTTAACTTCATGTCTTTGGATATATGCCCAGGAATGGTATTTCCAACTGGATCTAATGGTAGTTCTGGTTTTTTTTGAGGAACCTCCATAGTGTTT